CGCTGGAGATACAATAACATCAGAATCAGAGAGGGGAACGAGTGGAAGGCAGCTTTTTGGACCAACTGAGGACTGTTCAAACCAATGGTCATGTTCTTCAGCTTGACCAACTCCCCTGCAACCTTTCAATGGATGATGAATGATATATTCAAAGATCTCATCACCACGGGGAAGGTTACAATTTACCTGGATGACATCCTCATCATGTCAAGGACAAGGAAGGAACACCGCAGTCTGGTCCGACAGGTACTCGCACTCATGAGAAAACACAAGCTGTTCCTCAAAGCAGAGAAATGCAAATTTGAGGTATTAGAAACTGAATACCTCAGGGTGATCATCAGCAAGGGAAGCATTAGAATAGACCCGATCAAAGTGGCAGGAGTGATGGAATGGCCGATGCTGGTCAAGAAGAAGGAGCTACAGTCCTTCCTCAGATTCACTAATTTCTACCAAAGGTTCATCCGGGACTACAGCAAGATCATCCGCCCAATGACTTAACTCACTGGTAATGCCCTATGGGGATGAGGGAACTCTCAGCAACGTGCCTTTGAAGACTTAAAGCGATGATTAGCTGAGGACGTAATTCTCACTATCCTATCCCAGAAAGGGAAATTCCAGGTGGAGGCCAACTCGAGCAATGGAGCCATAGGTGCTGTGCTGTCACAAGAACAAAACAAGAAATGGCGCCCCATCGCCTTCCTCTCCAAGGCGTTAACTATGACAGAAAGAAACTATGAAATCTACAACAAGGAGTTGCTGGCAATAATGCTCGCCTTAGAAGAATGGCAACATTATCTAATCAGAGCCCCCAAAACCTTTGAGATCTGGACAGACCACCAGAACCTCAGGTATTTCTGTCAACCACAGAAGCTAAATCAACAACAGGCATGATGGGTCACTGAACTCACCTAGTATTAATACACCCTTCATCACAAGGCAGAGATAGCCAACAAGAAAGCCAATCTGTTATCCTGCTGAGCTGACCACAATCAAGGAGGGAACAATAATGCCGGAGTGATAATGCTACAGCCTGAACATTTCTGGGCCCTAATCATGCCAACAGAGGAGGAAATCCATGAGCAAATCAAAAGCACAACCCGTGACACCCATAAATGGGATCAAAAGGTCGCCCCTTCCCTTAATCACAAATGGAGAATGACAAAAGAGGAAGGGATGATCCGATATGACAGGAGAATCTACATTCCGCGAGATCAGAGCCTGCATAGGGAAATCATTGCCATATGCCATGACTATGCCACTGCAGGACACCCAGGCATCACTAAGACCAAGGAGCTCATCCTACGAAACTATTGGTGGCCAAAGCTAGGAAATGACATCATGAAATATGTCAAAGCCTGTGAAATATGTCAAAGGGGAAAAACCATGACACAGCCACGAGTGGCCCCCTTGCATCCAAACAAGGTACCGTCCTCCCCATGGACACATATCTCCGTTGACATGATCACCAGACTGCCTAACTGTAACGGCTATGATGCGATCCTCATCATAGTCGATCGGTTTTCGAAGACTATCATTCCAGTTGCATGCTCCACAGAATTAACCTCAGAAGGGTGGGCTAAGATTTTGTGTGACAAGGTATATGCCAAGTATGGAATGCCCCAAGCCATCATCTCTGATCATGGACCTCAGTTCATCTCGAAATTCCTGGATGACCTATATAGACTGCTTAACATCAAATGAAATGCATCAACAGCCTACCATCCACAAACCAATGGTCAAACTGAGTGAGCAAATCAGGAAGTCAAAAAGTACCTTTGGCTATTTATCAATTACCGACAAGATAATTGGGTTGAATGGCTGGCTTTAGCTGCCTTTCAACACAACAATCGGGTCCACTTGGCTACAGGACAGACACCATTCTTCATGAACCATGGATGACATCCTCATGTCGCCCAAACAGCCCATCATAAAACAACAATGCCCGCCTCCACAGATTTTGCCATAACCATGACAAAAATCCATGCCAAAACCAAGACTGCCCTGGAAAAGGCAGTGTCTGCAATGAAAAAACAATATGACAAACACCGTCGACCGTCACTTACATATCATATCAACGACAAGGTTTGGCTCGACACAACAAACCTCCATTTCCCATGACCAAAGCATAAACTCGCTGATAAGCACACTGGCCCTTTCCCTATAGTCACTAAAATTGGGGAAAGCACCTACCAATTATGCCTGCCAATGACATGGAAAATTCACAATGTATTCAATGAGACACTTCTCTCCTCGTATATCGCACTGGCCTTCTTCAATCAGCAATGCCTGCCACCACCACCACTGGACCTCATCAATGATAAGAAGCAATATGAAATTGATCAAGTCCTAAATCATAAACTCCGAAAAGTCAAGGCACAAGGGGGTGGCATGACCATGACGGTGGATTACCTTGTCAGTTGGAAAGGCTACGGTCCAGAATCTAACCAGTGGGTCAATGAGAAACATATGACAGCAGATGATGCTATTCATGATTATGAATTATCCCTCAATTAAGCCATCGGGACGATGGTCTTAAGAAGAGGGTAATGTTATGATTTTTCCCTTTTTATTTCCTTTTACCCCTATTTATGCTTAGTCAGAGGGCACCAGACCGCAGGAGAGCTTAGTCAGCACAACTAACTCACCCATCAAAGCCATTTCGACAATCAAGCCTAATGACATACAAGCACCCTTTTATGTATGGTAACAATGCTCAAGGATAATGGGCACCATGGGCACAGATACATACAATAGGTAGCGATATTATTAGGAACATTTGTTTAGTATTTAAGGACTAACACTCTTGCTGGTATACCCCAGCTTCGAGCTAAAGTTTATACACACCATTCTACCTGAAGTCAATGTCTGACCTTATATCACAATAAACAGATATACACAAAGTGAACTCAGCTGATCCCTTGAAGTGTGAAGGGACACCTGTTTATCACATGTATTTGCTCATGTGACACTTGGGCCTAACACTTAGTGGAGTGGTGACATTACCTCATAGGTGCAGTCTGAAAGTTCAAGATCTGGACAGACCACCAAAACCTTCAATACTTTCACCTTTCTCAGAAGCTAAACCAGTATCAGATATGATAAGTCACAGAACTGGCCAAGTACAACTTTATGCTGCAACACAAGGTCAGAACCACTAATAAAAAGGCTGACCTATTGAGCTAATGTGCCAATCACAACCAAAGACATGATAACAATGAGAAGATGGTCATTCTGAAGCCAAAACACTTTCAAGCAATGATCATACCTACAGAGGAGGATGTACACAAATACATCAAAAGTACTATCAGACAAATAGAGCTGTGGAATCAAAAGATAGCTCCACCAATCAATCACAGCAGAGGAATGATGAAGGAGGACAATTTAATCTACTATGATGGATAGATCTATATACTCAGGGATCATGCTTTTCATAGCAAAATCATCATCTGCTTTCATAATCATATCACTGCAGGACATTCTGAGATCATCAAAACTATAAAACTAGTCCTATGCAAATATTGGTAGCTCAAACTGAAGATATGAAAAAATATGTTAAAGCATGTAAGACTTGCCAATAGATCAAGTCTAGTATGCAGGTAAAGGTAGCACCTCTACACTCAAACAAGATACCAATAAAAGAGTCTTTAACAACTTTCTGATTCATCATTACTCTATCCTTTCATTGGCTTGTGAGTTATAAGGCAAGATTCTAATCCCTTTTATTCCATATTTCCATTTTAGATAGGCTCCTGCAGCTTTAAACTGCTTGCTATTATCTATTACTCTCAAGAAAATACCACTCCAGCAATAGATGATGTCTTTAAACAACCATTCTGCTATCACTTGTGCTGATTTATTTGCTAAAGTTCTTTCCTCCATCCAGCTAGTTGACATGCAACATCCATGTACAATGTACTTATAGTGGTTTGATGCTTTAGGCATATGTATCATGTCTGCATGTAACATCTGAAAGATTGATGGCATAAATGTTACTGTTGATGGCCTTTAATAACCATTTTCTAGCACTGTTGGCATATCTCACAAGTGCTAACATATCACAGGATGCTTCATTCCATCTCTTGCCATCAGAATCTTTCTTTGATCAACATCTTAGTCACATACATTCTCTGATGTTCAAGTTGATCATACACAGCCTTCATTATATACATCCTCTTTTCTGAATAGATAATGAGCTTATACTCTGACTTAATATCCCATCTGTACAGCTTGCTTTTATCCACTATAAAATTCTTTGCATATCTTATGAAGTTCTTATATTGATCATCTTTGAATCCTGGAAGTCATGTGATAGAATTCTCATGCCACTTAATTACCTGTGGTAATTGTCAATCCAGCATTTTTGCATGTCCATTCCTATGGGACTCATCATGGCTCTCTATATCACTATGTAACTCAGCTGCATCAGACAGGATTAGCCTCACATTATGCAATACTGAGTGTGTCTCACTACACTCTATTGCCTCCTATATTACTTTATCCTCATGAAAGTCATATACTGCTCTTTCAATAGTTATGAAGCCATGCCAAATATCAATCCTGTCTTTAAAGTCTGCTATATCCTCTACTTCATCCTCAGTCTTGTTAATGAATTCTCAAGGATTCTCATCAAGTGGCTCATATTCATCTTCTGGATTAGAATATTTCTTGTCTCCAGATTGAAAGCTATACCCAGATAGCCCATCTGGTGCATGTCTCTCTTTAGGAATATGCATCAGTGTAAAGTGGAACATTAGTTTAGACTGGAGTAGTTTTATATTCAGTAATTATATTTTACATAGTTAGCAGTAGATAAAAGAGCAGTAGTTACACATAGATAGAGAGCTTTCAGACCTCTGCAGTCTCAATGCTAGCTTGAGAAGCAAGTGTCTAGATTAAAGGAATCAGTTTGAGGCTTTGAGCAAGAGAATATATTGAACTTAAATATTATTTTGAGTGATTTAAGATATGTGCAAGACTCATATAGCTTGACCAATAACAAAATGACCGTGGTTAATGTCGCTGTAGGGAACGAGCTTTTAACGGCCTCGGAAGCAAGAGCGGCTGCAGTCAGTAATGGGCCCGCCGGGGAGTGCATTCAGATTTTAGCCGCAACCGCGGGATTCTGTAATGACGCGCGTTTCGACAATACAGATGACGACTCACCTGTAGAGATTCGGAAGGTTCACGGTGATGCTACTGGTATGTATCTTAATATGGCTTTCCACTATCTTTCCACTTACACTGAGGATGTTTAGATACCGGTCTACTTCGCTTTTCAGAGAGCATCATGCCCATCGAGGACAGCCAAGCAACATGGATAGAACGTGCGAAGCTTGCTTTCAATTCCAGTATGCGCCTTTCTTTGCTAGCCACGTTATATTTTGATGATCTGTATAGAAAACAAATTTGCCATGAAACTACTACAAGCGGCGCTTCCCCAAGAGAAACCGATTACCTCAATGCCCATCTTTTCCAATGACAACTTCAACATGTCATCCGATTATATTTTATTAGTCAAAGGAGTAAGTCTTGTCCTGTGTTCACTGTTGTCGGCTATCTAAAAGCAATAGGCCCCTGAGATAGTATTACGCCGGTGTAGCCACATGATGGATTCGAAGGGATTGATTGTGCCAATGGACGAGACCATCGCAGACCGTTTATCGGCGATACAAGAGCAATTCGCGTCAAACGGCCAACGTGTTCTACTCATGGCAAAGAAGATCATTCATGGTTCCAAATTGCCGACAGACTTCTTCGTCGAATCTGGTTCTTTCCCTATGGAGGACCGTATTCTTGGCCTCAACTCCGACTTGACGGTGGTAGGTCTGGTAGCACTGATAGACCCTCCAAGAGATGATGTCAAGGAAACGGTTGCTGTAGCGTGCCGGGCAGTCGTTCGTTTTGCAATGGTTACAGGTCGGTTTTGGCATCGTAGGCGCTTCGTTTACTAAATCCAATCTTGAAGGTGACTTCTCCTCTACCGCTGCCGCCATCGCTCAGCAGGTGGGAATTATCACGACGCCAATGAGCGAAGTGAAGCATATTAAAGACCTTCCATACGACACTTCTCTAGAGTCAGTGGCTGAGTACGAACCCGAGATTGATAGACGTTCAAGTCCGGAAATGAGAAGTCTTGTCCTCAGTGGTTCTGACCTCGTCGGCATGACCGAGTCACAATGGAAACAAGCCCTTGCATTTGATGAGATTGTTTTTGCCCGGACAACCCCCCAGCAGAAACTCCAAATAGTGAAAAAATTGCAGGCGGAGGGATGTACCGTTGCAGTGACAGGCGATGGGGGTGATGCTTAACGGTTTCAAACTTACGCTATTTTTGCTCACATCACATCTTCTTATGCAGTCAATGATTCTCCTGCCCTGAAACAAGCTGACGTTGGGGTAGCCATCGCTGGAGGCTCCGAAGTCGCTATGGAAGCCGCGGATTTGATACTACTCTCAGATTTTTCTGCCATAATCACCGGAATTCAGTATGGACGGCTATGTTTTGAGAACTTACACAAGTCAATATTGTACCTCCTGCCTGCCGGTATGTTTACGAATCAATCCTGTCGTTACCATCTGCCTGACATGTGACTTAGGTAGTTTCTTAGAGCTCATGCCTGTTGTTCTGAACGTACTCACCGGGATACCGCAAGCGTTGAGCAGCTTCCAGATGATCATAATTTGTGTTTTTACGGACGTTTCTCCTGCGTTATCCATGGTGAACGAGAAGCCTGAAGCAGATCTCTTGTTACGCCGGCCCCGCGATCGTAAAAAGGACCGTTTGATCAACTGGAGACTTCTGCTGCATGCCTATTTCTTTCTAGGTATCATAGAAGCAGTGACGTCCATGGTCGGGTGAGTCTTCGATAACGATGCTACCGTTTTTTTTTTTTGAGTCGAACATGAACGTTGGAGCGTTCTACTTTGGATTTCAGCGGAATGGTGTTCCATTCTCCGCCCTGTGGCACAAGTATGGAGGCTACGACGCTGACCCTGATCTAATTAAGGAACTCACACACAAGGCATAGTCAATCTGTATGGCGGAATTTTGTTGTTTCCCGACGGGCCCATTGACAACAATCTGTAGATTTCTACAATTTAGTCATGATGCAGTGGTTCAATCTACTTCCCACACATACCCAAAGGCTGTCGTTGTTCCAGCAGAATCCTTTCGCTTCCAAAACGCGCAATATTTTCCTGTTCCCTGCTATGGCTGCTGCACTTGTATTTGCTTGGTCAGTTTCTCCCAGGTGTCTTCGCCGGATTTATATTAATCAATCCGAACAGTTTCTTCTCCTACATCCCTTGGTTTCAACAAGTTCTTTTGACGCGTGGAGTTCACGTGGAGTTCTTCTTCTTGCCGATTGCGTGAGTCATTTTCGTCTGTCCAAGCTGGGCGACATGGTGTTCAATCTTTTTGGTCTAGATATGGTACTGGAATGCTTTTCCTTGACGAGGCACGCAAGTGGTGGAACAGGAAGCATCCAACATCGTTCCTTGCACGAATTGCGTGGTAAGGATCTTGATTTCAACTGCCATTATTCTGTCTCCTCTGTAATAGAAACAAAGGAACAGATGTTCTTTATTAAATAAAGAACGTGTCTCGTTGATAAGTCTGAAAAAGGAGATACACTGGACGATCGAGACGAACTTTCGCTATTTTGTTTGTATCCACCATCCTTGCTCGGTGCATAGTTGGATGATTCCAGGTTCATCCATTTATCAGTTCTGGTTCCACATGAGTCTTGGCTGCCGAAGGTACATCTCATTCTCTAAATTCTTCGGAGGCATGGAAACACTCGTAATTAAACTGGCTCAATCAGGCAGTAAATGGAGATGAAGGCGACATAGTCTGTTCATACGGCTGATCCATATTCATCGCACTTTGCACATAATTCGTAGATTCTTCGTTCTCTCATGTAAGTTCGTGAACTATGTCGTAACTAGTACCGCCATCTAGGATGAGGGTTCCATTAGCAAACTGAAACACCCTTCAATTGAATTGATTGGGAGAGGGCTAGATCATACGCTCCAAAGGCCTTCCATTTTTTCAAAGCTATTTCTACTACTATGCGGGACGATAATAGGATGGAGGGTAAAGACACGGTCTCAATTATAGCATTATAGATGTTCCGAATAGCAATCCAGTATTACACGTGATAATCGATCAAGCCACCAGAGCGAAGCTCGCGCTTGTAAGGAGAGCCGAGATCCCGTACTCTTCCTTTGCAGCAGAACCTTAGTTCTATACAGGGCAAACAAGAGCGGGTTTCTGGCCATCCTATAAATTCTGACACAACAACCGGTGTCTAAGCTTCAATTAGTAAGAGAACAAACATCCAACTGTGCACTCACCGCCGCCATCAGGCTAACCGATAACCTCGTAATCCTTCATCTTATCCACCGGACTACTTTTGAGGGTGATCTTAACCTGAGGGACCGAGCCATCAAAAACCTCCTTGAGGGCATAACTCAGAATTTTGAATGCCTTGACCCCGAATTCAACCAAATCCATCTGAGCTATATCCTGCCCTCCGGCCAGCAAGGTATGAATCTCCTCCGCCGCCGCACGAAATACCCCATGCACCTTCTCCCGATGCTTCCCCTCCCACTGCGTCATGATCTCGAAAGCACGATGGACGGTCTCCTGGTTGATCTCATGGTAATTCACCAGCAGGACAAGCACCAGGTCCCGGAAATATTCGACAGTCGATTTATAGTCAGAGAAATCCTGAGATGCGTAGGATGCCTGATCAATGCGGAAGCAGTGCACTAACGACCAAGCGACGAGGCCCTGGAATTCCAAAATGATGAATAGCTTCTCTATCGCAGAGAGTAAGACGACAGCCGTTGCTGCGCTGATCGCTGAGCAGCCAAACGATGAGAAGAAGTGGCATGTAGTTGAACCCAGATTACGCACCTATGAAGACTCCCCGCTTCTTTGATCTAGGTGAACCATCCTTGCGATAAAAAAGGCGTCTGGTGAACGGGCTGGTGGTTCCTAGTGTACTGGCGAACGATGGTATGGGAGGCTGCTGGTAAGAGAATCGCCGGATAGTAATAGAGGCGACGGGAGCAGATATTGATATTCTGCCTGTATGCCGACTCAATAATGGAACCTGGCGCGCCAAGGGTCGGAACGTGAGCATCAACGTCAGCGGAAGAAGGGTGTTTGTGGCTGTGTTTATGTGCCGAAAAGCCGCACTGGCAAATGCTTCCTTTCAGTTTCCCACCGTCGCGCCATCAGCGACTTTTAACTTAGACAGCGAATTTCCCTGGACTATAATGAATGGTTCACAGATATTATCTCAATGCTACACTTTGTGCTCCAGCGTATACATGGAATGCAGTATCATCTACAGCTTCAAATTGTCATTTCATTTTCCAGACCTTTTCTTCAATGCTTTGCACTTCTGGACTTCTGGATACGGAGGTTCCACAAAGCTAGCGCGCAATGGTATGACACTCACCCAGCCATTTTATATTGCCCAAACCATCGGATCCAACAGGTAGAGACGATGCTACCAAAGGTCGCACCAAGCTCTCTCCGTCTGAGGCAACCACTGGAACAGCAAACCGCCAGATTTCTCAGCTCCCGGATCACCTCCGGTAGCTAGACCAGCAGTAGGATTCGCAACATTCACGAAATAAGCCTCCAGCTGCTTGAAAAGTCCTCCATAAGAGTTTCTTCGCATCGTCGTCCAGAAATTCTTGAGACCTTCCCCAGTCAAAAGTGCTCAAATAAGCAGGATGTTCACGTTGTAGAAAACCACCTCGTTGTCTTTGAAACCCCCTTTATCTTTCCCCCAGTTGTCCCAAAGATGATTGATGATTCGTATACAGAGTATATGGACAGGCTCGAAGAAGGTGGTCGACGTCGGACGAAGGACAGTTCCGTACGATATGGCAATCGATTGCGTTTGGGACAACGATGCAGACAATGCAGCGAAGAGAGAGTATAGGCTGCTGTATAGTGTCCCAGATGAATCACTCATACAAAGGGATGTGATATAATACGCACACGAGGAGTTCCTGCAAAGATCAGGACCGGATACCTGTGTTAACAGAAAGAAGGTCCATAAAATAGTAGCAGAATATGGGGCAGCGCACGTATAACGAGATCTATATGCCCGGGTAATAATTTATGCAGAGTGATATTTGTACATGCAGCTGACGTCTGCAGAGCTCTGAGCGAGTAATCATGGATTGGAAACTGCTTCATACACCGTCAAGAATTTATTCTGCCTGATCACAGTCAGTTGAGTTTCATTGGGGAAAAAATGGCGTAGACCGGCTATTTCTCTGTCTTTAAACTGTCGGGAAGTCGCAGATACTATCTGCAAGAAGAAGTCATTAAATAAGAGAGACACGTCGTTGAGCAACGCGCGAATCAAGAGCCTTGGGATGAAGATATTTTCCTTTCCTAACTTTGTCAATGCAGTATATTTTACCTGAGAGACTCCAAAAGGAATATCGGGGATCGATTCTAGAAAACCAACCGATCCACTTTTGCGAGCTTTGACTTTCCATCCTGATGTAAAACGACAAATAATCAATGTTTACTTACTGGCATTTGACACCATACCTAGTGTTCTGGTTAGATGCTGAAAAATAATCCGAAGACATAAGGTAATTCACGAGCATTCGGTGGTCCGTCGTCGTTCTAGATGAGCTTATCAAGAGACGATGTGTGTTGAAGCCAAAGCGCACAGTGAGAAGAACTATCGGGGCCATGGGGGTCATGGAAATCGGAAACAATATCAATGGAACCTAGGTAGAGTGAGCAAGGTATAATATCATGCGTTAACTGGTTGAGGAAAATCGACAGCCTAGAAGAACAGGAGAATTGAAGAATAACTCATGGAAAATGTTGCGGACGGATCATATCACTACAGGACCCTCAGGACCCATTTTCCAACTCGCTCGTCATTGATATTTGAATCCCCGTCGGACTCGACTTCACGGTCTTCAATTCTTCATTACAGACATGGTCGCACTAGCAAGATGATTAGGTTCCTGAGCAAGACTGACGTCAAGGCTTGGCGTGGAGAAGAAGGCCTTGATGCCATAAAGGCTGCACCAAGACCCCTTCCTCCGCACAGCATCATGGATTTCTTGAAGAAACAATTCGACAACGTTACCCACAGCGACCAGCAACAATCGGAGATAAAGCAGGAGAGTAGCGGTGGCTTCATGGAGAAGGTGAACAATGCTCTAGGAGGCGGAGAGGCTGGAGAGAAGAAGGAGGGTAGGCATGATTGTTTATATACAGTTGTAAATCGATGACTGACCCGATCGCATAGATCTCCTGGATAAAGGTGCGATTACTGCAAGATCGGTTGGGATCGTCGACTTAAAGGCTCGCAGGTGTCGACTTTGTCCAGGAGCATTTCCTGGGTCAAGGACAACAGTCGAATGAATCTGCCTTGGAGCAAGCCAAGGACGAGCAGATCTCTGATGCGATTCGGAGGGGATACAAGAGCATGACTGGGAAGGATTTCCCCATTGCCGATAAATCGTAGAATGCATAAGTGTTCATCGCGAAGAATTGGTACTGAAATGACACGTTACATGAAACCGCTCCGTGGATTCAAAACATTTTCACTCTTTGTTTCGTGCCTGTTAATCGATAATCAGTCAAAGTTCTGATCTTGAAAGGTCCACGACATAAATTCGAATAACGCAAAATCGGTCAAAACGCCGCTTCGGACGGAGTTGGATGCTCGTTCGCAATCAAGAGAAACGACCGGTGACCGGTCAGTCTAGAAAGGCCCGTTTACCCCCCAAAAAATGACCCTTGAGATTGCCTTGAAAACAGACAAAAATACGCAAATGTCAAGTGGTGACTATGAGGATTTCTTCAAACCATTCTCCTAAACCTGAGTACTAGCTAATGAGGAAAACTCCTGTAGTCGAATTTGGTAGACGCATGTGGCGGTCGTCGGTAGCACCCCATCGCCGTCAATTAGTCCGAATACATGCGGCAGCGTAAGGGCAAAGCACCAGGTTAATCCTTTTGTGGCACTAAAGCCACTGGCATGATAGCGGGAACTACTTATCGACAGAGTGAGCAATGGAGCAAATATTGCGAAGTAGAAAGCGTACGAGCTTGAGCTGGCCCAATGTGGATATACTCAATTTCGAAGCCGAGCCGCGTGTAATTTTAAATTCGGCATGTGCCAAAGACGCGGCACCTCTGCATTGGATTGCCATTTCTTGTCTGGGACAGGAGTTTCAGTAAAGACGCTGAGTAAACGGCGCTGTTACCTGTGCTCTTACTACATCAACTCGCTCATTTGCGCAGCCAAATGCTCCTCAAAACAATCTCCCTGTCCTAGGCGAACTTAAGCGACACACACTACAATGGATGACGGTTCGGAGCACGACGCTGGTGGCGCTATTACAACAAATGAGGGAACCAAGAAACGACGGGTGCAGAGGGCGTGCGATTTGTGTAGACGAAAGAAAAGTACGTGTTTCAATCGTTTCATCCTCGGAATACATTATCTGACCCTTGCTGTGCTATAGTTAGATGTATGAATTATTCGCGCTGCATCCACAGCATGGATTGACTCCCATCAACCTAGGCGATGCCTCGTCCATGCCCGACCAACGGTGCTCGATATGCGTAGCCGCTAATGTTTCCTGTACTTATCTTGAGGAGGCCAAGGTGACTTCATGCCTTCTGACGTACGGGCACGCGATTAACGTGTCTGATGTTTTGACGAATCGTTCGATAGAAAAAAGGTCCATCAAAAAAGTACATTAGTATTCTGAAATCTTCGATTAGTCCTGCTCATTGAATTCATCAGGTACATCCTTGAGTTAGAGACGAAAGTACAGAAGATGGAGAAGCTCTTGCACACGGTAAGTGAACTTTCCGATACCGAGGTCGATGCTGATTTTCTGGAATAGATGCTGCCGGAGGAGGAGCTCGAAGGGTACCTACACGACGAGTCTAACTGGAAGCACTGTGAAGACTTACCGCGGCGCGCCGGCACCGTCGAGTGCTTCACCACCGAAATAGAACACAAATATTTGATAGAACCCGAGAATGTTTTTCTGGAGCAAGCTTCGGAGTTCTTCAAGGATCAAACCATGGGCCTTCGATTCCTGGGTAAATCAAGTGGCGTCCACTTGATTCAATCAGCGGTGGATCTTAAGTATGGGGTCATAGAGCAGCCGCTTTACTTATTCCCCCACGTCAGGCCAGAGTTTTGGCACTCACCACGTTGGGAACCGAGCCAGCATGATCATTTTGTGACAGGTGCAGCCTTCACATTTCCTCCGGATGATCTTTTGTGGTCTTTGGTCGACATCTACTTTCAGCGCATCAACATCCTCGTCCCGCTCCTGCATCGGCCGACGTTCGAGAGGTTAATTGGAGAGAAACATCATACTCAGGACCACATGTTTGGTTCTTTGCTGTTGCTGGTGTGCGCTGTGTCATCAAGGTATTCAGATGATCCGCGCGTTCTGATCGAAGGAGAGGAGTCGAAGCAGTCCAGTGGTTGGAAATGGGTTCATCAAGTGATGGATACCCGTAATTGCAAACCGTTAGTAGGTGCGCCGTCATTATACGACTTGCAAGTGCTCTGTGTGAGTCTCTTTGACTGTTGTCTGTCGTAGAATGCTACATCGGTAACCCAGCTTTTTGCAGAATTCTTGGAGGGCTCTTCGGTACCTCATTTGGCGTGGACGGTCGTGGGTGTTGGTATTCGGCTAGCTCAGGACACAGGCAGCCATCGGCGAAAGGCGAACAATCCACCTAACACCGTTGAGGCTGAGATGTGGAGAAGGACGTTCTGGTAGGAGATAGCTCTTGCTGCCCTGTCAGTCCTCTGAATATCATGACAGGAGTCTCATATACATGGATCGAGTGATTAGTTCTCTTACGGGACGGTCAGTGGCTTTGTATGATGAAGAGTATGACTTTCTTCTGGTGCTTCCCTTACTGCTATATTGCTTACCGGTAACTTAGGATTGACGTCGACCTCCCTACCGAGTGTGATGATGAATATTGGGAAGCCTCTGACCCAGCACAGGCATTCAAGCAACCAGCTGGAAAACCTTCCGTCATTGCGTACTTCAATTGTTGTCTCAGACTCAGTCAGTTGTTGACGTTCTGCTTGCGCACAATCGTATGTGCATTTCCTTCCACCATTGTCCGATATGCTCAACCTGCACTGAACAGTACTCGGTGAAGAGGTCAAGAGCCTTGCTTGGCTTTCTCGATCCGAATTGGGAATATCAGGTGGTTGCGGATCTGGATTCGGCACTTAATAAATGGATTGACTCAATCCCTCCACATCGTACGCTTCTTTGCATCGTCTTTGGTCTTTCGTTCACTGTTATACAGTCCGATGGGATCCCAATCGCGTCAATCTTGTCCATTTCAATCAATCTGCGTCGTTGTATATGTACTACTATCACCTACAAAAACTAATCCACCGGCCTTTTATCACGAAACCACAAGACTCCAAGTTTCGATTTCCATCGCTTGCAATATGTACCAACGCTGCTCGTGCATCATCACATGTTGCAGACTTGCAACGTCGTCGTGCTGGAGTAGTCGCCGACAATGCTGTACGCCCTTTCTTCTTCTATTCTTTCTGGTCGATCTGACCTTTTGGATAGTTGTTGGCGTTTGATGCTGGGATTATCCTTCTGTTCAATATTTGGGGCGGGAAGCGTACGGGCTTGTCCTTGGACCCTTATAAAGAGATGGATGATGTCCATAAGTGCATGAAGGTTCTACAGAGCTTAGATTCACGGTCTGTTCGATGCTTCCGATGGTCACTTTTCTTGCATACTAACGTTGGCCACAGGTGGCACTTTGCGGGAAAGCTATGGTATGATATTATATATCTGCATGTTTAGGTCGATCCTCACAGTTTCTAGGGATATACTGTACGAGTTAGCCTTCGTGGGCGATTTGCCGTTGCCCAACACACCCTCCCCGAGTAACAAGCGAGAACGAGACGAGGATGAAGAAGAGCGAATTAGTGCCGAAAACTCGAACTACTCTTCTGAATCTTACCCCCTACCCGATGACCCGCAAGATGTGTCTACTTTTGACTGGCCTATTGAAGAGCCGGTATCGGTGCAGAACTTTGCATTGGACATGCCTCCGAAGTCTCTACAGCCTCAGAGTCATAATGTCCCGTTACCCATGAATAGCACTGAGCTTGGACGGGGCAATCCTACTGGCATGCCAACAGCGGAGGCTACGTATTATTACGACAGTAGTGATATCTTTACGGCGGAAGGTTCACGACAGATTTCGGAGGGAACGACAGGCATGTGGACGAATGACGACAATACGATAGCAATGTGGAACAGTGTTCCCAATACATTTGAGTATGTTTCTCGGTTTTTTTCTGCCGTAACATGTCTCAAGGATACCTTTCAGGATGGATGATTGGGATAATTACTTGGCTAGTTTCAATCTTTCTAATCAGAACTATCAGTAAAACACGATTGTGATGACCGTATGCTAATCATGTTGTAGTAGGACATACTTTACTTCTGGGATAATTATTTATTTTTTGGCCCAGTCGACGGCGGGTGAATTTGTTAACCCTAATTGAAAAAGAGGTCAGAGTAACACAGGGTAATCGAACCTTCTTTTTAACTTTCCATCTGTTAGCCTTTAGAATTTTGTGCGATGTCTCGTTCACGTCTATTGCGGAATGTGCCAGTACACCGTTGGTCTCCATTATGCGACTTAATTGTTGAGGAACTGTCTTGCAGGAAATATTAATTAATTAATTGGGGGTCCTATTTTGCAACAATGCCAGATGGCACGTGTTTCGACTGTATTCACATGTCCAGGATATAAGTACGTCCCATCATCTTCTCTTCCTTCTCCCATGGCTACCTCCAGTTCGCTCAGCAGCTCGTCACTGCTCGACGACCAAGATGAAAGCGTCAGAATTGCCGTCAAGGCCCTTGGAGACATGCGAAACGGGCATCCGTCGGCCAGAGAAACTCGTGAGCCTTTATCGCACGTTTTATCGCCTGATATTTAACTGCGATTTTGGATAGAGTCTGCAAATACTCCAGCTCTTTCTGTAGCTTCTACGTCACAGCCAACAACATCTCTCCCTAGTCCAAGCGTCTCTTCCATTGACGCCAAAATGTACGGAGGTGGAACAGCGCTGGAACCCGAGTTTGTGAAGCGGATGTCTCACCTGCCGCTGGTCAACAGCGCACTGAGGGTGTACGAGCAGGGAAAAGCAAGCTCCAGAGTTGTCAAGGTGTGTCGCGAGACGCTGTGGCGTGTGTTGTTCCTACTGACCTGGTGTCTTGCCAGTATGGTGCCGAAATGATGGAATCCGGTGTAAAGACAATATCGAAGCCCGTCATTGATCGGCTGCCAGTGAATGTCGAGCAATTGGACGAGTTTGCTTGTAGGCAATTGGACAGGGTGTGTAAATTTCCATTGAGAACGAGCCGCGCGTGCGGTGCACTGCGGATACGGGTAATCTTCCATGGTCGAAGCATAGGGCCTTAGCATGTCCGGATTTCGTCGACTGGATAACAGCAAGTTTCGAAGCGTTAGAGAGGATCACGGCTTTGCTCAATTTTGGGGGTCTTTGCTTGCACTGAATGTGGGATGCTGCTGGTTTTCCTGCATCAGGATTGTGGAACACGTCCTGTATACATGCTCCGGACGCGTCCAAAATCCCACAATCAGATAGCTTCTCTAACGTTTCGAAACTTGTTGTAAACAAAACCGATGGAACATCTGCGATCCGCTAGACCCCTTCAGGTACCGAGGGCGGCCCTGGATCCCATTTTGTTCTCAGGCTGGTGCAGCATGTTTCGAAGCGTTAGAAACACTCGAGGCTGTTCTCGATTCTGGCTTTTGCTCGCCCTGTTGGCGGTACAATGTCGGTCAAGCTTCGCTTACCTTCATTAGCTAAGGCTAACCATACTGCCCATCAACAGACTCGAGTGTCAAACACGTTCGTTTCTACCTCTTCGAAAATTGGTATAACCGCCATCCTGAAAACGAAGCGGATCTTGTGTCCCAGCTATCCTAGGAACGATTTGGTCTTTCTATCTCTTATCGGGAGCCACGTAATTGAGACAAGACATGCTAAGGCCTTCTGTTGTGTTTGGCCATTCAAGTATAAGCTAGGCTGCGCGCGCCCTGAATTGCAGACAACCGTCTTGCCTTCTGATCATCATGCAGACGAAACAATGTTAGTGCATGTCGCACGCTGGTACTCCGATCAGTCTATCATCCCCGATATCGGAATGCTCTTCCCTGGGGAGAGATCGGAGGGCAGCGTGCGATTATGTCCTATCTGTGCGGGCGCATGATTCTTGTCAAGCTCCAGGGGCTTCGGCATGTCTATTCGTTTCATTCTTGCATTTATCATGGAGAGGAGCTGTTTATTGATTCCCCTTTCTATGGTATTACAGCTGGACAGGTATCGTCGACCATCTTGCGATCGGGAAAGTTCACGAGAACGTGGACGAGGCAAAACACGTCAAGAATCAATGTCTTCGGATAGGGACGTAAGCGTGTCGCCTTCGGTAGAAGGCGATGATGCTAAGCGGGTGGGGATGTGGATAGACAGTGAGCCACTCCCTATTTCCCCGCATCCGTGATTTACAGTGATTTACAGGTACGAGTTCTTACGATCAGCGGCGTTCACCTACGCCGACGCCCGAAGTACCGGTAGAGGATGCTGATCAACAAGTTGCCCAAAGAAGCAGATGGCACACCGTACTGCTAGAAGCTGGAGGGTTGAGCGCAGCCCTGAGCGAAGAAAGCCTACGTCGGTTGCGATATTGTTTGAGCTGGTTGCAGGTGATCAACTTCCACTAATTTCTCCAGCACAATACTAATACAACCCTAGTATGCTACTGCTCATATTGACGCCCAAATTGTCGTTCTCCGAAACTTTGCTGCGGCGCTACAAGAGCGCCATTTTTCGAACCAAATTGGCGAGGGAGTTCCGTTATCAGAAGCTCACATGCATACCCTTGCGCATATACGTCAAGACATCGTGCATACTGTCCGACAGGTGGTCGATGTCGTGGGCAAGTACGCCGGTGGGGCTTCGTTGCCGGAGCCGGCCCGTCAGCGCGTAAAAGGTTTCATTCTCACATTGCCAAAGCGATGGGCCGCTGCGATGAGGAACGGCGCCTCTGCCGCTCCTCGAGGCGAAAATGAGCGGGAGAGCGTGGCTGCTGCTTCTGCGGGAAGGAGTCGGAGACACCATCAACCTAAGAGAGAACGCGGTGTCGCTTCCGTTACTGACACTCCCCAGCAATCACCAACCGCCTCTCCACGTATCCATCCCCGCACTATGGCGTCGGAAGACGGACACCGGAGGATGACCACGGACACAGCTATGGTTGCGGCCCAGCGGATACTCACGTTAGCGACGGAAAGTCTGGATATGATGCGTGGAGTCACGGGAGTCGTGAAGGATAGTTTGGATCGGGCTGATGCTTGGGTTGGAAGACTACGAACTGTAGGCATAAGGGGGGCTAGTGAAGGTGAAGAAACAGATGCCGAGAGGGAGAGTGTTGTGCCTCCATCACTGAAGCGGCGAGACAGTTTCGATATTCCGGGTCCGCCTACGGTGCCCGTGGATGCCCCTAGCCCTGATGTACGGCTTCCCTTGAGTAGGATGAGCCTTGACGAGGAAGACGAGGCTGAGGGTAGCGGGCGTATGGACGTTGACCCCGCTTGATGTCTAGAATGTAAGTGTGCCTGCACCCACAAGCACCCAGGTCTTCTAATCGGCATGTTCCTCAGGACTTCCATTCATTTCTCTTTACCTGTCTTTTGGACCTCCAGTGGGATAAATCCTTCTTATGCTGACTTTACTAACTTTACATATCTATCCATGTTACCACTTATCAAACGGGATATCCTTTTGAATTTAATTTAACCTCTCACTGTACCACCCTTGATGCTAAATATTTATAGACCCGGAGTCATATTTAATTTGTACTACCTGTACCATCATCAGCACATACAAATACGATGTATTTTGAATTATGTACCTTGATGGAGAAAAGAGGGTGGCGCTTTAGGTGAGTGGTTATCGCTATCTTTCTCCGTTTCTACTATGTTGCTCCGATAGACGGAACGTCCTTAGCCTCCTCCGAATAATGCATCCGGATGCTCGGGATCATGATAGTGTGATGTGGCGTTCCCACTTAACTTTATACAATGCATGCCCTATTATGGTGAATATCATGCACATGGACCAAGGTACAGGTACGCCAACGACCAACCAATTCATTACTCTGCAACGCACTAAGTACTGTAGATCATGATGACTGATGACTGATTCCGTCCATCGTTCGTTGAGGGGGGGGGGGGGCTAGACCGTTCTTGATCGGCACCACTACTACTGGACGAAGAAACGGTTCGCTTGTTCTGGCGGCTCGATAACTCGAAGGAGATGCTGTTTCGTGTCCCATTCGGTTTCGACGAATCTTTTTACGGTAACGATACGGTAGTATCACTCAGGCTGTTAAGTTTAGGCCGCCGATTCTCTCGTTTGGGAATCCCTTGTTCAATGCTCGTGCCAGTGGGCGTGCATGCGTGCTTGAACATTGAACACGGGGGGGGGCGTTCGGCATGTCCTCTTCGCCTACTTGCGTCTCTTTCAAACGGCAAACGGGTTTTTTTACGGTATCTGCGGCATGATGTTATCGAAGCTGAGGGAAATCAATGTGGGCTTGATGCCGTTTGTTTTTGGCGCTGCACATGGCACATGGTGCTGTTCACAGGCATCCCATGGCCGGCCTAATCATTTTCACCCAACCCAACCCATGTACTAGCATGACGTTTTGTAGGCGCCGATTGATTGGACCGCATAGGTACGAGTATGGGTTAGCGATTAACGAACGAAAACGGACGTCTCTGGCGTGTGTTTTTTTTTTGTTCTTTCAGGGCTGCGCTGGACGGGGGGGTGGGGGATTCTTTGATGAAGTCAATTAGCGAGTGTTGATAGAACCAACCCCCCCCCCTGCGTCGTGCGCCACGCTCCTGAAATTTCTGACTCGAGCATGATTGGTTCGGGGCGAAGCTGGTTGTTTCCGGGTGCTATCCTATCTTACGGGAAGCACCTGGTGCTGTCAATGATGATAATAAGCGCCATATGACGTCGGCGCAAATCGTGTTTTCTTTCGTTTTTGTCATGGCTTTAAACATGTTCCTCTCCGTATTTGTCGCGACGCGTGTAGATTGGCTCCCGACGGTGGCGGTATTGATAGATCCCTTGACGACACGGGTATGCCATGCCATGCCGTTGTCGGTCCTTTCTCTCGATGGCATTAATTTGGATAAACGAGAGTTGTTAGGGTCCAAGAGGTCTTGTGGTTTTCGGGCTTAGTTCAAGTTCAAGACAGTCGTAGCTTTGCACCCAATCAAATGTCAGGGTACGTTGAACTTTTTTCTTTCCTTTTCAAATATATCTGATTTTGCTCCGTTCATGATAGGTAGTGCTGATGGAGGTGATTCCCCGAAAATGATCTCAGGGCTGATGGCATCGGACTTGAGGCGTACTCCAATCCGGCGTCGGGCGATCCCCCACGAAAAGATGGAATATGCCAACTGCTTTACCCGACCCTGTCTGCTCTCCGTCGTCGGTATTAAATTTGATGCGAAATCAAATATACTACGGCGATCGATCGAGGAGGTGATGCCTAAATGCGGGAGGGGCGGTGAGCTCATCGCTGGGAATTGTTACCTGATTTGACCCAACCTACAAGTAATAGGCTGGTCATTTTGGAACCCCCAAGTGCAGACAAAACTATTTCCGGGGGAAAGGGGGAGGAGGTCGCACCTGTGTGGCAAATCAGCTATACCGAGGTCCTCATTCGCTAGACAAATCCAGTTACTTGACCTGACAACGTAAAAATCCGTGGTCCGTAACTCCATCTGGCTTAAGAGACATTGGACTACGCCTGAAGCCAAGGAGAAGACGAATGGAGGTTAAAGCTTATTAGACTCGATTCGAATATTTGCTACCTCTGTGGCGCGGTGGCGGTTATGAGAAGAACCGACGTGGTAGAACAGAGATTTTTCGGGGGCTAGTAACTTCAGGTAGTATTCCTTTGCAATGAGGGTTCTGCCAAATTGGTTTCCTTATGTCTTTCTCTACCTGATTTGTCCGTTTACAAAGCGGAACCTGTGGTCAAGAAGGCTATTCGCAAGAGCTCTTGTTCAGAACCCGAACGGTTCGAGTCAGGTGCCGTCGTGTATAGGAAGATACTTACGACGGTGTAAAATCCAGTAGTAGAAAGGCCCCGAGAGCTGCATCCGCAAGCCAACGCCTCGAATACGGAGGGGGGCCACCACGAGTCTCTTTCTTCTGTACAGCGTAGACCGTAACCCCCTCCCCTCCCACAAAAGGGGATATCCCGCTTGACATCGAATCACCGATCGCCAATCGTCCTAAAAGATACATGCACCTCTGACCGTAAACGATCAAGGATTAAGTGCATGAACCCCTCCCCTCTCTCCCTCCCTCTACCACGCACGATGGGAGAAGAAGAGAAAGTAATTATGTGGGAGCAATGTTCGCATCCCTCAAAACATACCATACCGTCTTGGAGCAGATTCACAAGTCCCCTTCATCTCAATTTTTTGCGTCTTACTTATATCCGGCGTCCACCGCACGCTGAAATGTGGGGGGGGAAAAAAGTGTTACACGTCAGAAAAGCTGTCAGCGTGTCATCGAGGAACAATCGGGCCGGAATGCGTGTGGCAGATTGCTCGAGCAAAGTGTCGCGGTCATCCCACCGACCCGTACACGATGGTCCTGCTAAAAGGAATGGTTTTCCATCCATCACAGACTTCAAAGCGGCCGCTTTCAGGCTTCGCTCAATGGTGGCGGTGCAGGTGTTTGTCCCTCAACAAAGACACCGCTTCCTCCTCCTCTTTTGCCATGGGACTAAACTGACTGGTCAATTAATGAAAGAGAAACTCACGCCACCTTGTGATTGTGATACATGGGACCCCCGCGATCTATCACCTCCTCCTCCGAGAAGGATCGGCAGGTAGGTGAAAAACAAAATTCAAAGTCCATCCTTTCTTACATACATAACTAAACCTTGCTAGCTACGCCGCCTGATAAACCGACACTCCATCCAGACATCCCTCATCCACGACCGCCTCCGCGCGACCCAACAAACGCTCGACACGCACGCAGCGGAGCTCGCGGCCGAGCGCCGGACCTCGGAGATGCTCCGCAGGAAACTCACGGTGTGCGAGGAGCGCGCGCGGGCTGCTGAGGGGGAGCGGGACGATATGCGGGAGGCCGTGGAGGAGCTGGTGAGACGAGGTAGGTGAGTGCGTTGACGGGTGAAGACGGATCCCGAGGAGGAGTTTTTTTTTTCACTCATGTTAGCGTTGTTTTGTTTGTTTTGGTGGTGTAGTGGAACGATCTGGGGATTTGACTGGGAGCGCTTGGCGGTGTGGTAGGCTGCGGGCGACGACTTTCTTGGGTGGGTGGTGGTCTCGGTTGTCGAATCGTTCATGCGTGCTGAGAATTTTCCTTGCACTAGATCCCTCTGAGGCCCTCGCCCCCATCCCTGCCCCACGAGCCCCGACGACGACGACGAGATACGCAGCGTCCGTCATCGCGAGCCTCACTGCCGAACGCGACACAGAGAGGCGAGCCCACGAGCGGACCGCCACAGTCGCCAAGAACACCATCGCGGTCCTGGAAGCCCAGCTCGCGCTCCGCGAGGCTGAATTGGAATCTTGCTTGGGGCATGTCCCGAGTCTAGAAGAGGAAGAAGAAGAAGAAGGGGAGGAAGAGGAGGAGGAAGAACCCGGGGGGATGTCGGATGGGGAAGCTCTCCGGGTGCTTGAGCTCAGTGCGTTGAGGCGGCGGAGGATCGAGATGGAGACTAGGGATTTGAGTGCCAAGGTGAGTAGCGCCTGTTTCTTCTTCTTCTTTATTTTTTTTTTCTTTTTTGCGTAGCTGATTTTTTTGCCCTCCACCCCCCATCGTAGCTGGAAAGTCTTCGATCCCGAGCTGCCCCTTCTCCACCTCCACCTCCCGCTCCTCCTGACCTTGACCTTAACCTGCAGAGTCCAATCGATGCTCTGAACGCCCAAATCCAGCAATTCGCAGCCCTGATAGACTCCTTCCGAGCGGAACGCCAGAGACTGCGCGAGATGATAGAGTTGGTACGGGTGCCGCATCTACCGACCAACATCAACTTTCTTTAATCATTCACCTACTTAGGACTCCTCCGCGGGATCTCTACCACCACCGCCACCACCGCGGGAGAAGGTAAACGTGAACTTCCTTTCCCCCCCCCCTTCCGCTCTGACATTCTGATTTATTTTCTCTTTCTGCAGAACCTCCTCGAGGCAGAGGAAGATGAGATTCCCATGGGCCTCGCTACGCCGTTGTTCCCTACCACGCTGTATCCGTATCCGGATCATGATCCACCACTACCACCGCGAACCCCTCCCGAAACAAATACACCTCTAGCTGAAACGGATCCGCTCTGTGATCTACGTTTTTCATAGCACCGACAGAGAGAGATCCTGTCCCATCTCTCCTCTCTCCGTCTCTCTCTCTTTTTCTCTTGTAATGTAGCCATCCATCTTGTATCTATACTACCTCTACAACAATGGATATCCTTATGCCTTGTGCTATACATGACTACAGCGGTCTCGTCTCTTCCTTCTTCTTGGTCTTCTTCGTCCTCGTCTCACTTGGACTTGGTACGTACTTTGCCGCGTGGCCGACGACGTAATTGGCGAATGGCCTGGCTTCATCCACTTTGCGCGGTGCTTCTGGGGGGGCTGGCGGGGGGACGCGTATGGGCTCTGGGGTCTCTGCTCGGGAAGTGCTGGTGCCGGTGCTGGTTGACGCGACCTTGACCGTGACCTTTTTAGTCTTGGAATTGACGGAGAGGACTTTATGCTGTGAAGGTGTCGGTGTCGGTGTTGGTGCCCCTCCCGCCGCCGGTAAAGTAGGGAACGCCCCAGCAGCCCTGATTCGCTCCTCCTCCTCCCTCTCGTGCTCCTCCTCCTCTCTTTTGATCTCAGCCTGCACACGAGCGATGAGCAGCTCGGGGTGGGGTGGCGCGGCGCGGCAGTGCGGACAGGCGTGCTGCGGGGGGTTGAGCGAGCATAGGACGAGGCCGCAGGTGGGGCAGGCGGAGGTGTATCGCGAGAGGGGGTGGACCCTCGCTGGCCAGGGGGGGAAGGGGGGTGGTTATTAAGCAGAGACGGTGGATGTGATGGGTTATTACCTTGGCAGAAACACCCGCCCTTGGGGTCTGGGGTTGGGGTGGTGGTGCTTTGGAGGGCGTGCAGGAGGGATTGGAGGGCTTTGCTTTTGGGTGTTGGTTGTCGTTGTGGTTTTCGTTTTCCTGGAGATTGGTTGGGTTTGGGTTTGATACGGTCAGAGGGTAGGGAGGAGCCTTTTCGCGTCCATGGCGTCGACGTTGACATGGGTACGGGATTCCGGTCCGACTGCCGGGGGAAAACAAAGCCTCCTCGGCTCAAAGAGTGTGGGAAAGGTACGCTTGTTATTATATATACTAGATGAAAATTTTATTTAATATGGAGGGTAGGGGGGGCGAAAACGACTACATGGGAATCCCGATAGTCGGGGGAGGGTACGAGAAAGGACTCTGATCCTGCTGATTCGCTTGTGCGTGTGGGTTGATCGCCGGGGAAGGGGGAAGGGGAAGAACAGAATACCCAATACAACCCAACTTGCAGAATCCGAATCCCAAACCCACCAGAAGGGTTAATTTGTTGTGAGGCCCAGACCGTAGCTCGGATGGAGAAGAGAAGTTGTACACCCGGAGGGGGGGGTTGGGCGACGTCTAGACTCTAGACTCTCTCTCCCTGCCGCCTTCTTTATACCGTGGCGTAGGATCTTTTTTAATCTGAATGAAGTGTGGGTGACACACGCTACGTCTGCCTGTGGCGCGAGACAGCGAATAGAGGCGAGATTGGGTGTAGAAAGAAATTTTTCATACCGGCGGGTATTATTATTATTATTATTAAGACGTGAGTTTGCGGTTTATACTTTTTATCCGAGTCTGGGGCGGAGAAGGAATCGGACTTGGGCGAAAAAAAAAGAAAAAAAGTACGGGGACCTTGGCGGGTAGTTTTTTTCGTGGGTATAGGCACACACACACAGAGCACCCTCCCCGTCCAACTGCCATCACGAAATGGAAGAAGAGACAAACTTGGAACTTGGGACCGGGATTAGCCGTGTGTAATAGAATCAACAGGGCGCCTGTGCTCGTTGCACATGGTGGGAAAGGTACTTGCTGTGCCCAGTTGGATAGGATGTATGGGATGTATGTATTCCTTCGTCTGGCACTTGGGGGGGACGTTGATCAGAGAGTGATGATAGCATCTGACGGTGGATTATGAAGATCAGATGATGATGAAAAGGATTATTTGGAATACCGAGTGTATGGGTCATTTGATGAGGTGAGAGAATGTTAGATGGACTCCCGGATTCCCGTGTTATCAATAATTGATACTTGTGAAACCGTATAAGCAGGGGAGGCGAACCAGGCTGGGCAGTTTATAGTATGGGTGATGAGAGATAATCGGTATTTGAGGCTATGTCGCTGGTTGGTTTCATTATGGGTAGTGATGGAAATCAGGTTTCGATCATTAGTACGGGAGTGTGATTTAAAGGTAGTGATGAGCTGCTGCGGGAGAAGATCAAGGACACTGCCATGGAATGTTGGAAACTAGTATGAGATTTAAGGGTGCAAGAAAGGGTGTGCTAAGCGCCGGGACTTCTCATAAGTCACTACCCACTGGGTAGATCGGTAGTAAGAAAATCTAAGATGGGAAGTTGGGAGGCGAGCGATGATATCAAACGGAACAGATGGACAGGGTCAGAGTGATTAGGTGCGATCCCGATGAAATAACTCGGAGCAATAATGCCAAAGGGGATGGGGGCAATTCGGTGATTGGAGATATCCGAAGGAGCGTGTGATTCGCGGAGATTGGAGCGCGGCGGCGATGAAGCGGCGCTTGAAAAGGCCTAATTGGGAGCGGAGATTGAAAAAAGAAAAAGAGTGGTGGATGACCATAGGGAGCAGGGGGGTGTGCTGACGGTTTGCATCGCGTCTGGGAAGTCGGTTCGTTTGACGGAATCAATTGAACTGCCCCTCGTTCTGATTATCCACGGCTTCTAAAGCGCTGAATGTCCTGCACGGTTCTTTCCTGACGCACTCCATCAACAACATCACCATCGCAAGCTATGCCCCCCAGTCCCGTGTTTGGCTGGTCCGTCTCTCCCTTATAATTCTTTGATTGCTTGCTCTGATCCTAGATCACCCCCAGGGATCCCCGCGACTCTGACAAGCCATCCGTGTCCAAGTCTCCCCCGAGCATTGACCCTCAGCTTGATACTGCTCATTCCCCCCGCTCTCCCGCCCGCTCACCCGACGAGGACGACAAACCGGACAACAAGCGTCCCTCCAACCCAGTAAGTCCCCACTTTCTCTCTCTCTCTCTCTCTGTGTCCAATCACGGCCCTGATGATCTGCTATCATAGTACCCATCATCCTTCAAGTCCGATAAGAAGGACTACCCTTCCTTTGACCGCCACCACTTTTTGCCTCCGCCTGCTTCCATGCCGCATCGCGTAGAGCCATACCCAATGTCCTCCACGTACGTGTCTTCATCTCATTCGCCCCCCGCCGGCTGACAAATTTTTTTTTTCCAGTCATCGCAGGCACTACGACGATCTCCATCGCCGCCCTTCCCCGCCCCCCATCGCCGCCATCACCCACTCCCCATCGCCGTCCGTGTCGTCGCTCGACCGTTCGTCGGTGTCCACCCCGCCCAACCGCCGCTCGTCGCCACACTCTGGGCTCCACCAGTCCGCGTACTACCACCACCACCACCAGGACTCGTCCGTCTACCAGCCCTCCCGCCTCCACCACAACATGCACTATCCCCCGCCCCGCGATAGCGGCTACTACTTGAACCACTCCTCCTTCGAGACCCGCCGGTACGAGCCTTCCGATCCCTACCACACCCAGCATACCCACCTCCCGATGCCTAACATCCCCACCCTCAACCCCGTCCGCGAGCCCTTTGCTCTCCCATACCCTATCCCAGGCGGCAACAGCGTCTCTATCATGTACACCGAGGACGCCGCCACAAAACTCAGCGACCGCGTCCGCCGACGCTGCTTCAACTGCTGCACGACCGACACCTCCACTTGGCGCCGCTCCAACCTCAGCCCTGGAAAAGTCGTACGTCCCTCTCTCTCCCCCAACCAATCCCATATACAAAACACCATAAAACTAAAATAACCCTTTACACAGCTCTGCAACAAATGTGGCCTCTTCGAGCGGACCCACTCCCGTCCTCGCCCGGAACAGTTCCCACACAAGCGCGGCCCTCTCGCCTCTTCGGCACTGCGGAGCCGGTCTCCCGCACCCCTCCCCCCACCCAACCAGATCGCGCCCTTGTCCCCGCCGTATCAGTACTCCTCCTCTGCGCCCCCGCCTCCGCCCTCGCTCCCCTCATTCGTGGATACTGCCAAACGCTCGTATAGCCCTCCGCCCCCGCTCCATTACGAAGAGAGGAGGCACGCTGCCGAGTCCATCTCGACTCCCGTGAGCCGCCAGCCGAGCCCCCCGCCCAAACAGGAAGTCGTCGCTTGATGGATTCTTTTTTCCTTCCGCGTGCTTTGTATTACCTATATTCTACGAAAAAAAAGACAGTTTCTTACCACTACCACCAACCATCCATCCATCCCCCCTCTCCCAGCCTGCCTGCTTGCTTGTCTGTCTGTCATATTTATACCTCTCCCTCCCTTCGCTGTCGGTTTTCTTGCTATCAGTTGACCTGGTCGTCAGTCAGTTCATTATGTGTGTGTATCCCTCGTTGGCTTTATTTTTTCCTTTCTGTCCGTTCTACGTAATCTGAAATATTATTTGCTTATGTCCCCCCCCACCCCGCTTGACCCGACCTCTCTTTTTACGTGTAAATGCCTGATGGATGCCCTTGCTTAAAATTTCTTTGTTGAAAAACAAAAGTAAAAAAGACAATCCCCTTGATGTATGCGATCGATCTTTGATCGACGTCGGGGGGATGCCATGGATGGCTGACTTGATCCGTGAAGGAGAGGAAACGACGCACCTCCCTCTCCCCCTCCCCTCCCCTTCCCCTTCTCCTTCCCTTTCGCCTCCCTCTCCCGTCGAGCCAAGCACCCGGGAAAAAGCCCCGAGAGCACATGGCGTTCCCGCTGTTTGGGTAACCCAGGTCGGCCGGTGCATTCAATTGGGTGGATTGGGGGGGGGGGAGGGGCCCTGTCTTCGGGGTGTGTTGGCATCAATACAGAATAGCTATATATACGTACGTGCTGTGTTTACCATCGTTCCCTCCCAAATCAGATGGAACGGTAGGGTGGGATGGGACGGATCATGGAAATCTGATTGGATGCTGGATGGGTTGGAGTGGTTCGCGTGGTTATGTATAGAACAGAACAGGACGCTGCCGTGTTTATTTTGGAGGAAGGGAAACGGGCGTACCTGACCTCAGGCCTCAAGCGTGGGACCTCCATGGGTTTGTTTGTTTTTTTTTTTTTTTTCTTTTCCCGATTCCTGCGAGTGTTGCGGCTGTGTTTCCCGCGGGGAGTGTAATCTTGTAACTAAGGAAGTGAGTGTAGACCCGTGTCTACGCCTGCGACCCAGTATTATATTCTGGAAGGGACATGGCACCAGGTATGATGGCCGTAGCCGGCATTGATCCTACCGGCGGTAATGCCGCGCTTCTGCGTTTACTAGCGAAGGAATGAATGCTCCTCAGTTTTCTATTGCATAGACACGGACTTTGTATCTCATTTTCTATTTTTTGAATGCTGCTGGGCTCGGTTTACCGCCTTTTGGGCGTGACACCGCCGACAAAAGTCAAGCCTTGATGTGGCTTCGCTCGGCTTCCCATATCACCCACAGTATGATGCGTTTTGGGACAGCTTTTACATGTGAGATACGTACATTCCATGTTTGAGTGCTGTAGTCCATCCGCCACAACTGAACATCCAGATCAACAGCTTGAAAGTTATCAAGTCATGCCGAGCCTCGCTCTTGATTATAAAAACCTGTTGGAGGGAGGATGCAGCATTCGACCTTGCCGCCGGTAATGTTGCATGCCGACGACGGCCATCAGCTTATGTATACGAAATTCCCCAGTCAAGAAAAAGACTCGGTCTGCATATATCGCATCGTGTGCCAAAGACAATCTAACCGTATAATATTATCAGTTTGTTCGCCAAAAACACGTGTGATTTATCAGCTGTTAAGGTATGATTTTCTATTTTTAGATGCTCGAGCGAGCATGTTCCCCAGGATGCTTACTCATTTTCTTAGTCATACAAGTATTCTAGTATTCTACATATTCTGGTAGTATAAAAGACGACGATCGCACTACCCACTCAACCCCGTACCGCAAGTGCTAGCACCAACGCCCGCTTAGAGCTCGGTAAACCCGGCTTAGTTGCTCCGGTCCTGCTGATGTCAGCCGGTTACTCACCACCTGAGCATGTGATAAACTGAATTCTCGTTATAACTTATCCCAAGCTCGATACTCTTCTTGATTGTTCACCACGACCATCATGCCTTCCAAAGCCAGAACTGCTGTCCTCCAAAAAAATGCCGACGACGTTGTCATCGTCAGTGCACTGCGGTCTGCGATTACCAAGGTATGGAGGGCGGAGGGGATACGTCACAACCTACTAGTACTCATGTTTTTTTTTTTCTCTTCTTAGGCGAGGAAAGGCGGTTTCAAGGATACGCGCCCCGAAGAGATCCTCTCGGGCGTCCTCAAAGCCGTGTATACCCGCGTCAACCTCGACCCCAAGCTCATCGACGACATCGCGGTGGGAAATGTGCTGCCCCCCATGGGAGGAGCCAACCCGGCGCGGATGGCCGCTCTCTATGCCGGGATTCCCTTCACAACGAGTATCAATACCGTAAACCGACAGTGCTCCTCTGGCCTGACCGCCGTAAACCAGATCGCGAATGAAATCAAGACGGGGCAAATTGATATTGGGATCGGTGCGTTTTCATACCCCTCCTAGATTCTTGACAGTTGGTTGGAATGTAAAAAAAAAAAAATTTAGGTGCTGGCGTCGAGTCCATGACGTTTGGATATGGGCCCTCTGCGATGACCGAGTACTCTGAACTCGTTCTGTCCAACCAGGAAGCGGCGGATTGTACGATTCCCATGGGTATTACCTCCGAGAACGTTGCCTCGGACTTTGGGATCACTCGGCAAGCCCAGGATGCGTTTTCAGCCGAGTCGTTCAGGCGAGCTGCTGCTGCCAGCAAGGCGGGCAAGTTCAGGGCGGAGATCGTGCCTATAAAAGTGAAGATTGTGGACCCCAAGACGGAGCAGGAGCATGAGATTGTCGTGGAAGATGATGATGGGATTCGGGACGGGGTTACTGCGGAGAGCCTGGCCAAGCTCAAGCCTGCGTTTGCGAAGAATGGGACGACGCATGCTGGTGAGTGGATGATTTGGCTCCTTTGGTTAAGGGAGTGGAGTTGCTGATGGATCACACAAAGGGAACGCATCGCAGGTGTCTGATGGTGCTGCTGCGGTTCTTCTTACCCGACGTTCTGTGGCTCAACGCCTCGGACTTCCTATCATTGGAAAGTTCGTAGATGCGGCTGTTACTGGTGTACCTCCCCGTATTATGGGTGTCGGACCGGCATATGCCATCCCCAAGGTGCTAGCAAAGACGGGGTTGACGAAGGAGGACATTGATTTCTTTGAGATCAACGAGGCGTTTGCGAGCCAGGCTGTGTATAGCGTGCAGACGCTGGGAATTCCGTTTGAGAAGGTGAACAAACATGGAGGAGCCATTGCGTTTGGTCATCCGCTTGGTTGCAGTGAGTTTTTGCTTTTGCTCCGTGGGTTGTTTGATGGATACTAACAAGTTTTATGTTCGTGTAGCTGGAGCGCGGCAAGTTGCAACGGGATTGAATATGGCCAAGCAGTACGACGAAAAAATCTTCATCACCAGTATGTGTATCGGATCTGGTATGGGCATGGCTGGTGTGTTTGTGAACGAGCAGTGATTGTAAGAAATTTGTATTTTGTACTAATGTATTTTTCTCGTAATGGATGGATCGCTCATTTCACATCACATTTGGAAGCCCGCCGCATCCCGCCGGCTTATGTAAGACCCCTAACCTGCTCTAACGCTCACGTACTGGTACGTCCCAGTTCTATTCATTATTAAAATTGATTTATCGATCCTTCTTTTTTTCAAAGACATTCATTGACTCCGATGGCTGACCTTCCTCAAGAACTGCTAGATATCATCATAGATGAACTTCAAGACGACCGTTGGGCGTTGTTTGCGTGCGCACTGGCGTCCCGCTTCCTTCTCCATACATCCCGACGGTACATATTCCGACAAATCTCCCTCGGACCCAATTCCGTGGACGCTTTCAATAAGATCATCGGCACATCCCCGGACATCCTCCCTCTCGTCCATGAACCCTTCATCCAACGTGGGACGCGGCTCCACAAGGACAAGGACTGGGCCATGCACAGCGATGTCCTGCTGGGTATCATATCTCAGTGCACGAACCTCCGTAAGCTCCACCTGAGCAGGATAACATGGCGCAGAGCCCCCCGCCGTCCGGACGATGACGTTGCGCAAGGCGATCGAACATGCAAACCTCACGGTTTTGGATCTGCGGTCGTGTTGGTTCGCGGACTATAGCGACGCGGCGATGTTCTTTGCGTGTTTTCCGCGGTTGAGCTGGCTGGCTGTTAGTGGGAGGCTTGCCGAGGACGACGATGCTCCACGGGGAGAGCCTCGGATCGATATCGATATCGATATCCGGCGCCTTCATTCTTTGACGATCTCGTTTACGAGCTATTGTTACTCGGGAGGAGGGGGAGGGACTCCTCGGGCCTCCTTCTCCCTGCCACGCGCGTGGATCGCCGTCTTCCAGAACGCGCCCGGCCCTTGCCCTCTGGGAGTCCTGACCTTTTTGATCACGGTCGACTGGGACTGCGAGCTTTCCACTCTGGTGTCGCTTTGGGATGCGCTCGACGCGGGGAGGGGGGGGGGGCGTTTGCGGGCCTGCGGAGGGTGGTGTTTAGGGTTGGGTTTGTGAGGAACACGCCTTTTGTGGTCGTCGTCGGTGCGGCGAAGGAGGCTATTGGCGCGTCCTGTGTACGTTTGGCGGCTGCGGGGATTTTGAGTGTGGAGTTGGCGAATGGTGAGTTGTGGTGTTGTGAGTTTTTTTTTTGGGGGGGCGAGGGTTCGTTTGCTTGTTTGCTTGCTTATTGAGGATCGTGGAGCCCGTTTGGGATGAGTGGGATGGTAGGCTTCGGAGGCATTGGTTATGCGAGAAGTAGAGTCCTCGGGGTAAAGTTAAGTTTATTGGTTTAGATAAATACCTGTTAAGCATTCAAGGCCATTCGTGGAGAGCGGCGAGTTAACGTCCTTCAAGATGCGTTCATCTGTATACTGTTCCATCTCCCGTCTTAACATTATAATATATCGTTGCATCTCTACCAGAACTTCCTATTCCACGCCAAAACGTTTTCGTATTTACATGCAAGGTTTTTCAGAGAGCATCTGGATCTTTGTTCGATGAAGTGCCAGCCCTGCTGGCAGTACTCGTCGAGTTCATTCTGGTCCGGCATCATTCAGTAGAATATCAATGATGGGTTAGGAATCTACATGGAGTTCAAGTATATCATTCCTTTGGTTCCTATGCCGTATCGGTAGGACATTTTATGAACGTAACTAGTGGTCTGTACTACTTCCGTGCCAGACGCAAGGTTCGATAGGCTGGTTTGGTTTAATTCCTTTGAGGAGATTTACACGTTACTGTATTCTGATTGATCAACAAATTCGTGGACCGTTCCTTGTTTGACGGGGCTTCTTCTGTACATGACAACGGCAAAAGTTCGCTGAAGATGAAGGTATATATCTCAACTGCTGACCTCAGTGGCCCCGGATTTGATGGTTGCCGCCGAGATCGACGGAGACTGACTGGATCGACCATCATTATAATTCATTACGCGGGTATAACCAGGGTAAGTCCAAACTTCTACCTGTCGCTTCGCAGTGGGTCGTGCACTTGGTTCCTTGCTGCCAAATCTCTCATGACCCACATCGCCCAGGATCGTGGAATCCGTTGGTCTGCCAGGGTCAGGCGAGAAGAGAAGAACGAGCCGGGCATCATGTTCCACTGACGCTGTTTGGTCCGATTCAGTTTGAAAGAACCCCGATTCGGCTAAGTTGCGCCAGCTTCTTGACCCCATGTGCCTGTGTGACTATGGTCTACCCATGGCCCATGGGCTGCAAGTTTTTCTGCCACAAGGCCCGTGAAGCATATAAAAGTGCATATGTCGAATAATATGTGTGTACTCTTTGAATGCACATGCTCCGTGTGGTAAGCTGGAAGGAGCCAAGTAAGAGCATTGACCCACCTTAGCCTCTTTATGGTCTCCTCACTGCTGCTCCTGCTTGCTTGGCTTACAGGTAGCAGGTGTCGCTGTCCGTGCTCCCCCATTTACTCCAAACATAATCTGAACCCCCCCCCCAATGCTAAGGATCCTGTCGTACGTCGAGCTCTAGAATAAGTTAGATCCTCCCGTCGCCCAGCCAGTTTCAGACTCACATTCTCGTTCGCCAAAAAAGGATAGACTGAAAAAAAAAACGACATCCGATCGATATGAAATGTGGAAGTCGTCTTTCTCTCGGAACTGCGGGATACCCTTGGACGGCCGGAGGTGTTTCTGGCGCTTTCGTGTTGACGCCTGAAACATTTCGTCCGTCGACAAGAACATATCTTTCAGTGCTAAGCTCAATCTGTACAGTGGTTTAGCTGCCGGTTTTTCTCGTATTCGTCCTGGGAGAAATTTTTGCAGAAAACGAGCCGAGGATGACCAGTGCGGCCGGGGGGGCAGTGCATCTCTCGCCGAACGAGATCTGGATCAAACAAACAAACACAAAACGGATGGACAACGCAACGATAACATCACCTGTTTGAGCGTCCGGAAGCGTAAAGATTATCAGAAAATCCAATAATCTTATCTCCTCGATCCTCATGGGTACTTGATCGGGGACTTGCAGGCCTGGAATTCGTTTTTGGATTTGCACAGTGCGCGTACGTTTGGGGGGGGGATTATTTTCGTAATTGGTCGCGGTAGCGATGTAGCATCATGGAGGCAGGCCTGCGATACTGCGTTTAAGCGTACTGTACAACAGAGAGAGATGGATGTACGAACGGCCCATGGTCTAGGCTTATCATCCGAACATTCGCAATGCGACCTTTAGCTGCGATCGTAGCTGCGCGCAGATACGGAACTGACGTCCAAGCAGCATTCAGGGGCTTAGGGTTTGAGATTTTATCCATCAGAGTGGACAAATGCAGTTGGAAAAGGATACGAGAAGAGGTATATCGTCCGTCCTGGACGGGAGCATAAGGGAATGTTGCGCCCGAGCTGAAAGCGCTCTGATAGTCTGATAGTCGCGACGACTCTCTCCGGTAAGTACAACCTGTAACTCACCCTAGGACATGAAACTCACTCACGAGACGTCAAAAATGTTTCATCTTCTTGGACTCGTGTGACCGAGCATGAATGTTCACTACCATCGAAGAGGTGCCGCTGCCGCCGAAAACTACCGAATGAATTATCAGTAAAGGTCCATGACATGGATAGAGAGGTGGCTATGCTTGCCTTCTCCTTCTAGTCCAGTCGTGAACACCATCGATGATTTGGACCCATTGCATGGATGATATCTGTTGCATCATAGATACACTGCATGGTATAACGGCTTCCAATCATTTATCGACTAACGAGACAGATTGACCGTACCAGGAAGTGCATAGAACCGAACGGACTTTCTTGATGGCGCAGACAGCACTGATGCCTACAGAGTCTTCCCTGGTTCACACCGAGGCAGTGCGAATGGGCGAAACTACAGGGCGCGTAAATCAGCATCTGCAGATACGGATCGATCACACGAATTCGTATCCATGAGACCTTTTTTTTTTTCTTCTTGCTGTTCCCTGGGTTTCTGGAGGAGAACAGGTGAGATGAGGCTGTTCATGCTGATGATCGCAAGCACCACGCAACGCCCCGTCAATTTTCGCATCGTCGACGAAGGAAGACGTGTACGCTGTCTTCAAGCTTGATATCAACTAAAAGAAAGAGTTCTGATGTTGTTGATATTGAAGGGGCGCCCGCACTATCTTACTCACCTCGATCAATACCGACGAAAGAAGGGGAGAGGTTTGGTTCGGAGCGCTTGATTAGTTTGATGGCAGAAGCATTGATGGCATCGTCTTGTATCAGTTCGTACGGAAGGAACACGGACCCTTGAATAATATTATCTTGTAGCAAGCATTGAAAGGATTGCGGCATGACTGAAGTATGTGTTTGTGTTTCAGAACAAGTTCATCTTTGCGATAGCTTAACGTGTGACTAGGAATGATACAGCGGATGTCTTCAGGGGCATGGATCTATTGAGGGAGAAAATGTTAAGGTCCTTCCTGTGCAGACTAAAAAAGTCACCCAAATTCGGGCCTTTGGGAGCCGGTTAAAGACCTTGAGAGAAATTAGTTAGGCTGTACCAAGGGTTAATCATTAATCCTCCGCACCTCAACTATAATTTTCGTCCGCAGCCTTCGATGGATAGCGGTTTACATCGAGGCGTGCTTGCTCATGAATGAAGGTAACCTTTAGAGGATGCATCGTTTCATTATCCATATACCACGAAAGAGTTTCATTTCCCGTACCAGCCAATAGGATCGCTGACAAGGATGAGAATGTCGTACACATGATCCGGAAATCGGAGAAAATCAGTCAAAAAGGTGTGGCCGTCCTCGGGTAATCCAGAGTAGACGCAAAGCGTGGAGCGTGGCCGGGCCTTGGGTGAAGCCATAAAAAGTCCTGGGATACATAAAAGGTATGGAGCCCATTGGCTGGACAGCTTCTAGCGCAGACATCGGAGTGTATTCATTCATTCTCATCAGTAGTCAAGACTTGGTCTTCATCCCCGTTCTCTGCGCAAGTGAAGGCTCCGAACGATCTAGCACATGGTCAAAGTTCGTCATCATGAAGATGAAAACCTTAAAAACATACATTCAGTTGCCCCGTTTCCCAAGCATACTGGCTGTCGTCCTCCAGGTATGCCGCTGTACTTCAAGGTTGAGCCGTGAGCCGGCACGGACACATCGATCCGATCTCCATCAAAATTCTTACCACCTCGGCATTTTCCGGCGTCCATTTTGAACTTGAACTTGCGACTTCAATTGAAGCAGTACTGTGCTGTGGCATTCAAATCATCTCTCTGGAATACAAAATCAATTGACGAAATCAATTGATCATCACGGGCTGAACGCCGTGGCCCCGTGGCTCAGAGCATAGGAATCATCAAGCGGGGCTACCAAATATCCGCGATCATTCAAACGGTGGTGTACTTTGTACGAAACAAGGTCCCGGTCCCCCCCAAAACTCCCGGATTCATCTGGCAGATACGTTTGTGAGCACTTTCACAACTGCCTGCCCTCTTCCCAAGTTCTTACAATTGATTCGCCAGCTTGTTCGCTCTTTTATTACTTGCGCCAAAATTGAACATGACATCACGTATGTGGTTCTCCGCATGGATGGATGGAGCCCACGCTGGTCATGTCAGGCTCCGGTGTCCTTGGTCTTAGCGCTGAGCGGTACCTGCATCTGATATTCTCACCATCAGTGTTGCAGGGGTCAGGGCGTGTCTTTTGCTCTCCCTCCAGCAGTGCAGTGGACAGGACTCGTACGCGGACATGAGTCGCCTAATGTACTTCATTATCGTTTCTCTGATGGCTGTCACTCTTGCATCGGCTTCAACAATAGTCCCGCGCGGGCCCCAGACTAATGCAACTTGCACCAGTGATTATGATTGGACTGACAACGAATCAGGTTTGAGTCCTTGTCTGCTGGCGTCGTATTTGTTGGGATCCTGTTTGACTGGTGGTGCGTGCATTGATAGTGGCTTCTTTAAGCGACTGATATGTCGATCGGGTGCAGATTACGGCGTATGGTCTTTACCGGCCGACTCTCATTATGACCCTCCGAATGTCGGTACCATGTCGTCGACTCCATGCTCATGGTACGTCAGAGTTATGTCTCTTCTCAATTGTCTTATCTTAGGATCCGGTGTAGTTCTTGGTCCGTTTATAACCTCTTAAGTGCTTGCACGGTATGCCAAGGCAATGTGAATTCCGTTCTGAGGTGAGGATGTCTCCTCTTCCATCAGAATAGTTCACCATGCTGAATGTCATTAGCTGGGCCTACTACAAAGCAGAATGCCCGGACAACGACTTGTCCACGACAACGTAAGACCACCTCGGAATTCGGATTTAAGGATTCTATTCACAATTTTTTCCAGGTTCTATCCTTACGATAAAGGTTATGAACTTCCTGAACCGGCTTCTATTCCGTACTGGGCCGCCCAAAATCGTTAGTTGACTTGGTCTTATTTCTTCGGAGGGGAGATTGTTCACCATCTACTCACATGATAGCGCTGAATTGGCCTGATGGGAGTTTTGATTCCTCGGATGCCAAAGACCTGTCTTCTCAAGGTGGGTTGAAGTTGACCGCACTTCGAATCATGTACAACTGACATATTTCAACAGATCATCCTGATCTTACTTCAGATAATGGCACCGCCAATAATAATGGCTCTTCCACTCCCGTCGGTCCCATCGTCGGAGGCGTTGTGGGCGGTGTGGGCGTCCTAGCTCTCTCAGCCCTTATTGCTTTCTTCCTTTTCCGACGCCATCGTCGACGTGGATCTACTACTAAAAGTGCAGATCGAACCAGTGGACAGGCAAACGGGGACACACGCTCTACAATGCATCTCCGGTCCAACTCAGCGATGACCCAGATCTCCGTCCCTACCTCATTCCACTCCAGCGGTGTAGTCAACATGATGAACCACTCACCTCCACTGAGCTCTCAAAGCCCAACCAGACCGACATTGCACTCACGTTCGAGTTCCAGCGACGTGGGAAGCCATGCATCGTACTTTGGCTCCATCCACGGAACGTCCGCGCTCATGTCTCCCACCACTGCGGAGTCACAGAGGATGTCAGTGAATCTGGAGGACATCATCACGCCTTTCACTGGCTCCCTCTCGGATCGTGGAACGGCGGCGTATCACATCGATGCGACTTCAATGTCGTCAGCGTCGCATGACACTGGTAGCAACGACGGAAGTGTGGGTCTCCCCGGGCATAATTCAAACAACAATCCGCGCATGAACCCGCCAGCATACAGCCGGTATCCCAACCAAATTCATCAGGCGCTGGAAGAAGCGCCGCCGGTGAGTACCGGGAAGGAAGGGATGCAGGTCCAGAACCCAGTGGGGAGTCGGCCTCATTCCGTAGTTCCGCCGCCGCCGCCTAGTGACACTGTCTTTGACGTCTCTAGGATAGCTTGATATATTTCACTTTTTGTGGATATTGCAGGGCTGATCGCCAAGCATATCTATATGTGGTGCTCGTGCAGGCCCGCAGAGTGTACTTATATGCGTATATTAAAAATGGAAGGATTATTCGCGATGTAGACTAGAATTTTGCCTGACTAGCGTGTATATTGTGCGAAGAGGGTCGTCGTGAAATTATTTTTCTTCACAGGCGTGGCGTTATGTGTGAGTATTTAAGGTTGTTCACCAGTCCGGCTTCTTTTCCCTTCAAACCCCCCCCCCACTCGTCATGCCACGGTCTATCTTGGTTCTTCACGGGTACATGTGTATTTCGTTGCGCTTCCTTAGGCCCGTTTGGCTAACAACTCTTGTGGAAAAGATACGCCCAAAATGCAACTATCTTCAGCAAACGCGTTGGTTTTTCTAATATCAGATCTGAGAGAAGCCATTGATAACATCGTGCTTCGCTTCTTTAGCTCGGATCTCTTCGAAAAGAATGCGGAAAGGATATCGAATTAGGTTCGTCTGTATGGCTATAAATTTTATAGGCTCACCCATGAAGTATTATCCTAGTTTTCGTCGACGCTCCCCATATCATCCAACCGGCCGATCTACGTGCTAATGCGTCACAAACTGAGCTGGGGGCTTTTGATCCCGCTGATGGCCAGCCTAGAAGGTGGTATGATGTTTATCGTGACCTCACTAGAGCTATCGGACTGGAAGAATCTCTCATGATGCTCAGAGATATTCTCAAGCAGAGGACATTTGATGTATGTGACCCTTCTTTCATCATGAAGACACATTTGGTTGAACTTTTAACGCGTCCACTGGCAGGGTGTATTTGGGTTCAGGTAAGTATTAATGTGCTCATGGCTAGAGAGGAAAAGTTCGAATGCGTTTCTGTTGTCAGCCAAGGTGCGGCGATGGCAGCCTTGCTTTCGGCATTGGTATGCCAACGGTTAAATTCCTTTGCCGCTGTTGATTCATGAACCATGGAGCAGCTCGAAAAACCTCAATCGTATCCTCCGTTTCTCACCGATGCCAAGCCGCCTCATCCCCCGTTGTGGGTCCCTTCCCTCGGCATTTCTTAAAAAAAAACGAAGCTGAACCATACATGTCCAGTCAATTTTGCGTCTGTATCGCTGGGTACAAGATTACAGATCCGCTGGCTGATCTTGTGTTTAACCCCACGTATGCAACACCGACACTTCATGTCATCGGTAAAAATGACATAGTGGTGCTCGAAGAATAGACGACAATTCTTTCAGGGATATCAGAAAGCAAACGCGTCGAGGAACATGATGGAGGTGAGATGCATAATCTGAAGTTTCCGGTAGAATCTTACCAGTGTTTTGCACAGGCCACTTTGTTCCGTCAAAGATATCATGGAGGAAATTCTTCTTAGCATATCTCTTAGATCCTCTGGGTGACATGCCATCACCTGGAAGGGGATGGAAGGCATGTGCCTGAGATCTTCTTTCTATGCCAAAGCATTTCACAAGTGCAGAGGGAGCTTGTGAAATGTGAATGCTTTGGCATAGAAGATGTTAGACACACATCTAGATTAAAATCAAGTGTACATATATCTTTAGAATGTAGGGCTGCATAGAGAAAAAAATGGTTTCTTGGAGCTGGTGAATATACCAAGATGAATAATCATAGGTGACCAGAAGACAACACTAGTGAACCCAAGTGCTATCCCCATACAGGGATCCTCGATCATGTCTTGATTTCATACGCAAATCTAAAATAAACTGATGCATATAAGACTATCTGCTTTTGGATTCGCGTATGAAATCAAGACATAATCGAGGATCCCCGATTTGTCTTGGCGTTTTCGTATAAAAAGGGCAAAAACTTGGCTCAAAGTCATTTCCAGCAGTAACCACCACCACCACCGCTCTGCAGATGAACGCCCTCCCGAACGTTGACTTCCAGCCTCTACAGATGAACGGCGTCCCTTCTTCGCGGCCTGAGGATTCACATGAGACAGAGAGTCCAACCCGATCTTCAGGTCCTCCGTTTTCCCAGAACGACCCATACGACCACCTCTCCGACTTCGATTTCAGGCAGGATGTCGCTGCTATCGCGGATATGATTTTCACCGATAACATCTTCCAAGACCTTTTCTCCTACCTTCTGCCAACGGACTCGCCCATCATTTCTGGCGACACTTCGACATTTCACTTGGACCCTCCTTTGGCTCCTCCCGCGACACCATCTATCCCACTGGAGCCGGACTCCGAGTGGCCGCTCTCAACACCGACTCTTATGTGCGTCAATGTATCGGAACTCACATCTTCCTCATTGTCCACGGCATCCTCTTCATTCTTTCCGGAGCAACGTCCTGACCCGTTGCCTTCTCCTGAGGCAAACACACAGCCCGCTTATCAGGACTTCTCGCCATTTAGGATGCTACAGTCTAACTCGGAGATGTCCTCAGCTTCTAACTCGTACACGAAGTCTATGAGCAATTCACCACAGTCGGAATCCGAATTTTCCTACCACGGAGACAACGAATCGGATTCTGGTTCAGCCTACCACCCTAGTCCAGGACCCTCGAACCCCAGAAAGAGAACTCGGTCGACCACGACGACGAAGCACTTGGGCGAGAAGGACGGCCGTGGCAATAAGAAAAGTCGCGGAAGGAAAGTTCCCGTTGTTCCGGAGTTCCGTCAAGACGATCAGTTTGAAGCAGGGCTTTACGAGGTGATTGAATCGACTCCGTTCGGCTTGAAGAAGATAGGCTGTATCGACAAGGACGAAAGGCAATACGTTTGCGCGTACGAAGAATGCGGAAAGTGCTTCGGTCGAGGCGAGCATCTGAAGAGGCATATCAGGGCCCTCCACACATGCCAAAAGCGTGCGCTCGACCTTTTCTCTCGGTTCCGGTGCTCACAACTCCCTAGCTCATAAATGTCTGAAAAAAGGCTGCCTGAGGTCTTTCAGCAGGAAAGACAATCTGAAGCAGCATATAAGTATCTCCCATTGAGGCAATTGTCTCTCGCGTTGCCCATTTTCCCTCACCCGCAAAGCTAAGAACTTTTAACATTCTCTTCGTCTCGTTGCTCTCCGTTGAAATCCGTCGGCTATCCTGAACCATATATAATACATCCATTCACCACTTTACACCGTACCGCTAAGCTTTGAACTCTCTTCACTTCAAGTAATAATTTCTATCTGTACTCGCTTTGTTATACATACATAATTCATGATTCACATGGACTTAAGAAACTGTTGCGGACATGCGGAATTCTCTCCATCTCCGGAGGTCTCACCCGGAAATAAATCATTTCTCCATGTTGCACATGAAGCCAGTTGGCTGTAGTGCCGTGAGACAACAAGCGCATCCAATTGTGGTGGCAGCCCACCGCAAAGTCTGTGTAACATCAAATTATTATAACCTCTCAGTCATACCAAACGGCATTTGCGCAGCACCCTCCGTCGACCAGGTCGATGTGAGCCACGGCAGTGGCGTTTGATGCGTCGTCCAGCAGCTGCCAAATCTCGACAAACCCGACGGATGTGTCCGTGATGGCGGCAAACTCATCCGCAAACGATGCGGGGCTTACAGCGTTGGAGGTGCCCCCCGAGGTTGTGGTGGGGGTGACGAAGAGCTGGTTTGCGATGGAGCCGTTTCCGTTTAGGCTGAACACGGAAAGGTACCCCGTTTCGTTGGTTTCACGGGACCGGGTTGTCGCCCAGAGGTAAGTCGCGTTGGCGGACACCTGGACTTCGTCAGCCCAGTGCGTGCTCGAATCGGAATCTGTATAAGGTGTCGCATACGTTAACTTGGTTTGCTCGCTTGCTTGGCTGGAGCAACTGATGGTGTCGTGGGGTGCTTACCTGGTGGGAGAAGAGAATACGAGACATTGAAGTAAACGGGCTGATGGGTTTGCCCGTCGATGCTGTACTGCGCAACCTCGTTCGCTTCCTGAAACAAAAATTTGAAATTTAGTCTTGAGTCAAAAAAAAAAAAAAGCATTTCATCCGTTTTACCTCTAAGATGACAAACAAGTATTCGCCATTCGGATGGACTGTTAGATGCCTGGGATTGTTTCCTTCCGCAGGTGCGTCTAACACTCCAATATCGGTCAGTTCTCCGGTGGCGATGTCGACGCCGAATGTCCAGATCTTGTCGTCGCTGTCATCTGCAGCATAGAGATACGTGCTATTGGGAAGAAGAGCAAGACCGTGGACGCCAGAGGAACCCGATGTGAAGGTGTAGTTTTGGGTAATGGATGAGAAGTCGGCCGGTATAACGGTTCCACAGTCTCCAAAGGGTATTCCTGAATCCGGGAATGTGAGCGAAACAATAGGCAGGATCGCGCAACATACCGTATACGGTGTAGGGCTCGACCTTGGAAGAGGTGATAAATATAGCTCGAGTGGATGAGCCTGATCAGAGGAAATGGGTCAGGTCATAGAAACAATGTACGTCGTAAAGAAGTAAGCGCACAGTTGCTCTCAAGAGGGACGGATGCATTATACGTGACGCTGGTACTGTTCACCACATTGAAGTATCCGTATGCGCTGTCGCTTGCCGTGTAAAGGCTTTTCCGGTCATGCTGCAGAAAGGTGGATGGTAAGACAAGAGAACAGCGCGAGGTACATGAACACCTACGCTCAGATTTATCCACGGATGTTCACTGGGTGTCGTGATGTTCGCAGCAAGAGTCAGCGAGTAAGTCTCGTCGTCGAACTCCAGTGCATAAATCGCATGGGTGGAGAAAGTTCCAACAAAAAGATGGTGGACTGCCGCTGAACAGAAGCTTGATAACAAGAGAGCTACTGCGACTCTTGACAGGATCATGAGATAATGCAGAGAAGGACTGGTATCGCGGCAGACTTTTATACCCTGCTGGTGGGCTATTAATAGTATCTTCAACCAGGGAGTAAAAGTTATATAAAAATAAAACGTGAGTACGAGAAAATTCGCAGCACTTACGACAATAATTGCCTATTGGCACTGCTGCGCATGGTTTTTTCACCATAACGTCCCTAAGGCATCACTCGTGAATATTCCTACTGAACCTTGAGAATCCATGTGCCAGTGATGTGCGAACGTCGGTATGGAGAGAACAAGCCTACGGAGTTGCCACTGTCCGCAGTTCGTCAACCAATGGGACAATTGCGGTTACTAACATGACATCTTCACAGCGAGGGCTCGCACTCTTAGGTCACCGTCGACGGGCAATTGGCACTAGAGTGTCTTTGAATTTTCTGAAGAGTAAGTCGGCATGTCTCTATACGCTTCCTTGAAACAGTTGCAATAGGTTAGTTTTGGAAAGAATAGAATAACACGAGGAGAGGATCTACTCCAAAGACGCGAGAACTGCGGTAAATACCTCATTTGTGCCGGTCCCTGGAAGATGAGCATCAGAGTCGTCTAGGATACGGACACCATCTGAGCAATTTGAACACATTAGCTTGTTAGTACAAACAGAGGCCGATCCCGGTAGTTCTTGCGTAGCTGGTTAGCTCTGAGCACCGTATTCTTGAACAGGCACTTGTCCTCGCAAAGTATGTCAAACCAAGGATAGGTCGGATATCTTCCTTGGTTAGGAACGAGACCACCTGTAGACGTGTCAATTACATATCAGCGAGGAGCTTGGAATAAGGGCCCAAAGCTCACCGACTTATCGCCAGGTCCCCTTGCATCCCAATTGACGCTGTCTTGACTCTTTGGAAAGGATGTCCCTGTACATGTATCACTGTATAGCGGAGAAATCACGTCTTCTTCCCAAGCTGAGGATCGTAGCAAGCAGAGGCGGTCTTGTTGTTACCTGGACCTCAGTAAAGAGTATGGACAGAGACGCATTGACCACTGAGGACAAGAAGAAAGAAAAGAAGAAGGCATTGGGTCCAAGCCGTCGGATTTTGCGTGATTAAGAGATGAGCTTTCCTTTAGCCCGGTAGTGGTGACGATAAGAGTAAAAGCCAATATGATTCCAGGTACTAGAACAACTTTGATCCGCCCATCGTGACCAGGAAGATGGTTAGCGGCCTCGCTCCAACTGGTCCCTCCAATTGTTACTGGCAGTCACTTTAAGCTTTCATATAACGCGCCGTTGCTTAAAATTGGGGTCAAGATGCAATAGTTGGTGGGACTGGGTTTTCTATACAGCGACGAGCCATATGCCGTAGGTGAGAAGCAAGGAACAATATTTGGGAAAAAAGGATGTGGCACATACTGTGGTCGCCGGCGGAGGTGAGATGCGATCCATTTTGGCGGTCCTTGGGTGAAAATTAAACTTGAGCGTTTGAACACCGAAGTTACCGAAGCAGCCACTAAATTGACATCGGGCCGACCGTTCCCGACTACCTACTGCTCGCATACTGCCCATTCCACGACGAACACGGGTGAAGAACCATGACTCAGGGCTAGGAGTTAAGCAGGATGGAAGGGGCTTCAAGAACTCTGAGGAAGCTGATAGCGACTACCTACGAGCAGGCGAGAAGAATTTGGTTTCCTTTGTACCATTGGGCTTTCCGACTCAACGATGCCGACAACAGGAGCTTATATGTCGACGAGCACATAGTAAACGAAACTCAGAAATGGTACAATGTGTCGACCACGAACACTTATGTAGCTATAGCCACCGATGACTTCCATTTTGTTGGCGTGTTCATCCATGCTGTTCTACTGGTAGGCACTCGGTCCTAAACTTGATTCAATGTGCGATAAAGAAGAAGGCCACTTTCTGGGACACGTGTCCCACTGGCAAATGGGTAAGTGACTGTGTGAACCTAACCAAAAGTTCCCAGCCGCCCTACAGAACCGAAGGCATTTTCCCTTGAAAACCATGAATGAGAAGCAATGTATCATGAGGCTTCCCAACATTTGATCATTATCAAGCCGGTACACGGACATACTTTCTCACCGACCAGTTACTCTCCGAGCCTGTGCGTACCAATGCCTTCAATTCCGCATCAAACCCATATCGCTGACCAGGTCTTCTTCGAAGCTGATCCAAACATGCTGTCTGTTATGCTTCGGAATATAACTTGTGACCTGACGTCCCCGGCCTCAACACTGGCGCCCCAAATGTCGTCTCTGCTTATCTCGATACCGCTAACTGATATTCCCTCTCTACTGGGAAGAACACTCGGAGCAGTTTTTATTGCGGATATTATAGCTTCAATGTTCGCGCCCTTGCGTTTACTAGTAAAATTCACTCCTGATGCTCACTCGATGCTTTAGCTTCTATGGAATAACCATTCTACAGACCGTCGTCTATTACAAACAATATCCTGAAGATCCGTGGTTCCTTCGATATGCGGTACGCTCTCACATCGAACTTGTCTCACATTTTGTGAAATGCAAACAGATCGCCTTACTATGGTGTGTTGCCGTAGAGTTGGAGGCCGACATCAGGATGAACATTAATACGACTCAATCTACAGGATATTCGATACCCTTCACGTTGCCTTGAGTACCCACGCACTTTATTTCTACCTTGTCAAATCGTCTGGAAACTATCTTGCCCTATTCGGAATTGTTTGGTATGTCAATCAAAGCCTTGGGTCCGTCGAGTTCTGACCTTGATTGTAGGAGCTTTCCTGTAACTTTCCTTCCTCGTTGTGTTTATCTGTATGAATCTAAGGCTCTCCCTGTTAGCTGCAGATCCTGCTCAATGTGCGTCTCGGTTTATCCTTTCATAAGTCATACTTCACCTTTATACAGATGTTGATTATCCCTTGTGTTCAAATGTGCGTTTCATTTGACTCTGGTGTTTGGAAAGACTCAGCCAGAGGTACCGCAGATTATACGCCGTCAGAATATGGAAACGTATGTCTTCATTCCTTCAGGTCGTTCAAATGAACCTTAATCATCATGATCTTATAGTCGGTAGTCACTTCCATGTCGTCTTGCCACGCTTTATCGTACGTGTTTCTTCCTCTCCATAATACCTATATCAATTCGAAATTGATATTTGACGCTTAGTTCCTTGCTGTCGCAGCTACATTCGGTGAGCTTTTCCTTGTCTATAAGGACGAGAAAACAACTCAAGTTTATTACAGGCGTAGGAGTCTGTAAGCCCCTCCGCTTCTGTAGTTATTGTGCAGCACTGACTCAAGGATGACGTTTCAGATGTCACATACGCTGCGTAAGCACTCTGAAAACCATCGCTGTTTCCTTCGTTGATTACATCGTCAGATACACCCTGAGAAGCTTTGTGAACATCCCGGACATGACGGTAGGCCTTTGGCTCTTGATTCGGACAGGTGCAAGGATCTCATCCTGATAGGTATCCATATATACGAATTTCTCCACCATCTCTGTTGCCGATTTCGTCATCGCCGGTGCGATGTGCTTTTATCTGCACAAGGGCAGGTCGATGACCAGCATCTCCAGGTGCATATTTCGCAGTCATAGTAAAGTATATCTATCTGCTCATAGACTAACGGGACTTCTTAGTACTACTAAGATAATTGTGAGATTAATGCGGCTCGCAGTGATATCTGGACTGGTGACGAGGTATGGATCTCAAGTATGCAATGTGTTGCAAACTAATCATCAGTGGACTTAGCTTATGCTCCCTTTTTACTCTCATTGCAGTGATTACTCTTGTTCAGTATTCAATCTTCCCAAATCTGATCCCAGTTTACAGTACATTGCCTGGCCTGAATCTCTCATTTTTGAAGCAATCAACTTTGTTTTGCCAAGGCGTTAGTATATACATCTTCTTCACCAGCTTCAAAAAACTGAAGTGTCACCAATAGTGTATATAAACTCTCTACTTGCCATGCAAGTCTAGCCTTACCACCCTTTTGTTTGCTAACTCTTTTCCCAGGCTCAATTCACGCAGGAGTTCGATGTGGTCTGTTGAAAAAGGACATCACGTTAACAAAAAGATAATGAGATTTGCTACCCCTGTCGCTGGAAGTGGGACTGCTGATTCTGGAGAGACAGTATGTACAATCTTTTTTGCGACCAAGACCAACTACCTGAAACTGTTGTTGAGGATATCACCATATCAGATCTCTCTGCAGCTGAAGCAGAGACAGTAAGTACAATGTGCATATTGACATTTCATTTATCTGAACTTTTCTTTCAGAATAGCACATTGCCTCTCCCTGCAATGGAAGGAAATCGGTCATGGTTTGAGTAGCATGGTAACATAGTTCACCCTATTTAGTTTAATTCTCTCTCTTTCTGTCCAAATATGACTAGTTTGTAATTAGACGTTGATCCAGATGCTAGTGCTTTCCACTAGAAGATGCTTGCAGCACAAGCACGAGTGAGGGTTCACTCCCCTGCTGCTTCTGTGATAAGCTGACGATGGTGTCCTAGGCAAAACACATTCGGAATAATCCATAGCAGTCAGTTGCGGAGGTGCCAGTGGAAAGAATATTCATTCCCCTACGAAACAATAATAACTTCTATTCATCATTTAATTAACTGTGGCAGACTGTGAGAATATCGAGACAAGGAAAGTATTGCCTTCAAATTGTAGAAATTGTACCATAACCAATGTCTTGCATTTTGGCTGACTCTTTTATTTGTCAATCACCATATCTACTCATAGGACCAAGTAACTTCGATAACCCCCATATCAAGTGTGCCAAGCTGGGTAAATGCACCACTGGAGAGGTCAATGTGGCTGTCCCCGCAGTCGGGGCATAGGTCAACCACGACGGCATCCACCCAGAGGCCGTTGTCTGAGTCTGTAGTCATTTAGACCAAATACTTAAGAAATAACATTGAAGGACATACTGATGACACCAATGTGTCTCCAGCAATTGGCACCATCGGCATAAAGGCTGGGAGGAAGAGCCACGACCAGGACGGAATTCTGGCTAGGTGCACCGCAAGCACCGTACCGGCTGTCAGGCTCATACCAAGTAGCTACAAGACAAAAATGGTGAATATACGGTTGAACGAACAACAACTTGGCTCCTTACCAGTTCCGTACCATACTTGAGCACTAGCAGTGGAAGCACATAGCGAAAAGACGGTAAATACCACTTGTCTGAGAGAGAACATGACTTTCCGATGTTCGAGTGACTGTGTAATTAGTCACTGGAAGAGATGACACGTACACCAGATGAGACCTTTTATGCGTTTTCCACTTTCGCCAGGGCCCAACGTATTCGTCATTGATCCAGGAAGCCCCAGAAGGACGTGCTTGTATACGTCCACCCTACATATTTCTTTCGTGTCCCTGCATATTGTGACTTATTAAGGGAAGAAGGAAGAGATAGACGCGTCAGGTCCAGGAGCCCACACGGTGCAGTGCACTCGATGCCCACGTACAGACCACCAGCGTGCGCGTTGTGGCAGACAATACAGGCATGTGTTTATCCTATGCCCTGACTCGGCAAGAGGACATCCACGACGGATCACCATCATCACAGTAACGTCTTTGTTCCTCGTTCCTTGGTCTTCGGCATAGAAAACATATCAGCATATACACACGCAGGTACCATCATGATGGCACACGTACATGAGCCCTTGAAGATGTCCCTACGCTGGACTGGTAGCTTTCTAAGAGAAGAGACCGTTGAACCAGAAGGCTGTTTCGATACGATGCTCCGACAACGACGGAGAGGGAAGACCTGGTAGGGATTTCGAGTTGACTTCCGCAAGAAATTACGTAGACGAATAATTGTGCCGGAAGCTACATATCGGTGGGACCTCATCAGAAGAAACCTCTATCGACGTACGTCACGATAGACAAGTCTCCTAGAAAAGGCTTGTCAGAATTTTTAGGGCATTTCGAACCTGCGGTGGTGCAATGGGATGAACGTTCTTGCCCGAATCGATTGATCGCTCAGCACGGTGAGCAGCTTCCCCCAAGGAAAATACGGTAGTTGCAAATAGACAAATAAAACCGAAATTACGGTGACTTGTAATTTCGGAGGTTTGGATGGAGTTTTCGGTGCTAGGGATCGAATAACACGGCATGGAATCGATGTTTCCGTCCCTTCTGATGGATGGTCAACCATGACCCGGGTTGGCGCCCGGCCATAATGACTTGCTTCTGCATCCTAACTGCCGTAAGGTTCAAAGCGTCAGTTACCACTTCGAAAGGCCAAAGGTCAGTGATTTCACTTGCATTAACTGCTTATATTCACGGTGGCCACCAATGCTACCCTTATGAAAGACCAAACAGTATACATTTGCTTCGATAGATCACGGGATAGCCATCTGGGCGAATGGTCGACGCTTATCAATAACCAACGGCAGCCCTTCCAAGATCCCGACAAGGCCCCCTTCTAGTTAAATTCCTTGGAGTGCCCACCGGGTTCAGTGTACTTTGGGAGGAACAGCTCGTCAGTCGCAGCTGCGAAAAAAAAGCACCATCAGTAAGAAAATTCCCATGCATGGGAACACAACAGACCTGGCGATTGGGCTTTCTCCGGCACCCAGATCTCAAACGGCGATGCAGCTTCAGTGGGCGTAAGGCCTTGCGTAGATTCCCAATAGGTGTCCATACTGAATTCCGATGATGATGACTGAAAAGAAGTCTGAGAGCAGCATCAAATCCGCGGCCTCCATAGCGTCTTCGGAACCTCCAGCGATGGCTACCCCACTGGAGAATCATTGACCGCACGGACATGACCAAACGTAGAGTAGCTTTTGGATCATTGGGTCTTACCCCCATCGCCCATCACCGGACGTCCTGCTTGCAGTTTTTTCATACTTGGAAGTTTCTGCTAGGAAGTTGTTCGGGCGAAACAGATCTCATCGAAAGCGTTTCCACTGTGACTTGATCATGTCGATGAGGTCAAAACTGCTTAGGACAAGACTTCGCATTGCCGGGACTGATCGTCTATCAATTTCGGGCTCGTGCTCAGCCATTGACTCCGAAGAAGCGTGTGGGAAGTCTTCAACATGCTTCACTACGTCGTGATAATTTCCATATGCTGAGCGATGGCGGCAGCGGTAGAGAAGAAATCACCCTCGAGATTGGATTTAGTAAACGAAACGGCTACGATGCGAAAACGGACCTGTAACCCATTGCAAAACGAACGCATGCCCGGTGCGCTATGACAACCGTGTTCTTGACATCATCTCTTGGGAGGATCTATCAATGCTATAAAACCTACCACCGTCAGGTCAGAGTTGAGGCCAAGAATATTTGATCCTCCAAGAGGGAAAGACCCGGATTCGACAAAAAAGTCTGTCAGAAGCTTGGCACCATGAATGATCTCCTTCGCTGTGAGGAGAACAAAGTTGGCCGTTTGACGCTAATTGCTCTTATATTGCCGACAAAAGGTCTCCTCGGGCCTCGTCAATTAAGTCAGTCGATGCCTTCGAATCCATTATGTGGCTCCACCCGTGTGATATTACCTCAGGGGCCTATGGCGTTTTAGACACCCCGACAACGATGAGAACCGGACTAGACTTGCTCCTTCGACCAATGAAACATGATACGTTAAAATAGCCATTGGAAAATATGGACATTGATGTGATCAGTTTCTCTTGGGGGAAGCGCTGGTAGTAGTTTTACGGCAAACTTGTTCTCTATACAGATCATCAAAATCGACACGGTTATCAAGGAGAGGCGCATACCGGAGTTGAAGGAAAGCTTCGCATTGTTCTCGATACTCTCTGAAATCAGTATCTAAACGTACTCCGTGTCAGTAGAAAGGTTAACGTCATATCCAAGATGCATAGTCCTAGCATCCACCGTGAAGCTCCCGAATCTCCACAGGTAACTCGACATCTGTATTGTCGAAAGGTGTGCCGTTACGATTGTGGCCAAAACACCTCTGTACCCGGCGGTCCCATGACTAACTGCAGCCACTCTTGCTTCCGAGATGGTCATAAGCTCGTCCCCGACAGCGGAAATGAACAATGAATTATCCTCCAGACACTGACCGTCATCCGTACCTATAAACGACTACGTAAGACAGTTTGCCCCTCTACTGACCTTAACGACGTTAGGATGGACAAGTCTCCTTGAAAAGACAGTGCAACGGAAAGGTGGTTTGAGGGAAGCGCTTGTGGCCGCCAAATGTACGCTTATGAAGGACAAAACAGTATAAATTTACTTCGATAAATCACGGTATAGTCATCTGGGCGAACGGTCGACGTTTGTCAATAACCAACGGTGGGCCTTCCAAGGTCCCAAGCAGTCCCTTCCAGATGAACTCCCTGGGGTTACCACCTGATTCTGTGTACTTTGCGAGGAACAGCTCGTCAGTCGCGGCTGCGAAAAAGAACACGATCAGCAGGACAATTCCGATGCACGGGAACGGAACACGACGAACCTGGCGCTAGGGCTTTTTCCGACATCCAGATCTCGAACAGCGATGCGGCTTCAGTGGGCGTAAGGCCGTCCGGCAGTTGTAATGGAAGAAGACCCGAAGCATACTTTCGGAGAGGACGGGACTGCTTGTCGTAAGGACTCGAGGCCCGGTCATTGAAGATGTCCAGTTCTAGACGAAGATCCTCTGAAAGAGGATACTGGGTGTCAGTGGACATTATAGCTCCCACAACAGCTCCCCTGGCCTAGAAAAGAGTCAGCTACGAGTAGGAGTGATGAAGATGAAGAAGATGATGACATACAAATGTTCGCCTGCCTGATGCGTACTCCATGATAAGTCGGGGCATCGAAAGGTGATAAGAACGGATGGACGCGAAATGAGGATCTCGATAGGCGGTGCGGCAGTAAAGCGCCTGGAAGCCATCAACAGCCAACAAGACAGGATGTTGCTTTTGCTCCCCTAGCTCGGAGAAGAGCTCGTCGAGAATGGCTGGTGCTATGGCTTTATCGGCGAGGCCGACCTCGATAAGCGTGGTTAACGGGGAACCAGCTTCAACCTTGACTTTCTCAAACGCGTGGGTTTTCTGTGTCGGAATGGATTCCAGACGAGATCTGTTCACAATGAGAATACGCCGGAGGGTTTGATGTGCATAATTGGGCTGCACGTATGTTTGTGTCCGGAGGTCATAAGTATGCAGAGTCGTTGAGTTCACAGTGCTGGCAGCTTTAAAAAAAATTAGCCAGCGAAGCAATGAAACTTTGGAGCAGGCCAACCTCTAGGCACGTATATGACTACCCAATCCTGCGCGTGGCAATATTGGACAGACTGAATCAGAAGGACACTCTTCCCGGTCCCCGCTCGACCGGCTGGGAGGTATGTTAGATTGATGACGCGGTTTGGACAGTGACCTACTGATGACGATTCTATGCCGTTCGCTCCCTTCATGCTGGGCGTGTCCGTTGAGTATACGCACCATGTCAACCGTCGATTGTCGTATTATTGAACAAGGACGAGACAGTATTCGGTGCTGGAAGCACATGAGAGTGTGCTAGAATTCTGAGAAAAAGGGAACGAACCTCGAGGAGCGTTGGCTTGGGCGACCCATAATACCGCACTGGGTCATTTTCCGTAGGTACAAACAAGGTAGCTTGGCCAATCATGTCCTCTCGTATCATATCTGGTCCGAAGGGAGGGTAATCAAGCGCTGGTCGACTGCTAGTCTCAAAGAGCTCGTGCTGAAGTTTCGACTCTGGCATTGGCCGGAATATCTGGCGGAGGGAGTTAGCCGTAGCACACCACAGTACGACAGATACGCACTCCATGACGGTGGTCCCTGCGAAAAAGTTTGCCCTTGTCCTTTGGTCCTTTCAGCTTCCATGACGCCGTACCTCCTACGATACTTGGGTGAGTTTTGGCTTAAGGCAGTCACAATGATACTGACTTGCTTGTGGGACCGAGGGAACGTCCGCGTAGTGTCGTGACTGCATAAGCGCAACTCCATGATTGATGAAAGGTCGATATGCGGAGTACGATGTCCCTGTGCGAGCCAATATCGCCTACAAATAATGAGGCAGAGAACAACGGCGAAGGACACGAACATACTGGCGCCATCTGCTCACCAAGACTGCTGCAAAAAGAAAGTAGGACTAATATTCCTTTCCCCTACAATATAGAGAAATATGGGTAAATATGTAGTCGACCTCACGGCCGGGAGGACGTCGATGAATTCGGGACGATAAACTTCGGAAAGGCGTCGAAAACGGCCGACGGTCACAGCTCACGTGATTATGTCACCAAGGTTTGCTTTATTTGTCTGGACCCTCGAATGATTTGAAATTCTATAAATATACTCCACCAGCTGCTGTGCTGAACTTCCTTTTACCGTCGTCGATGCTATGGAGGTGCGATAATTTCTTCTTCACTGTAACATTGCTGATGATGAACTCACAGTCTGTTCTGGACTTTTCGCGGGACTTCGATGTCGCTTCTCTGGATAAGGTTGTCATGACCTTTTACTCCGGCCAAGGCGAAGACGTGCGTACTGTGGTAATTTTCGTGTTGGGGGTTGAAGAGCATTTCAATTTGCAGGCAAAGATCGCTCAGAAAGTACTGACACAATTTGAAGAGCACCCGGATGCATGGACTCGCGTACCCGAGATCTTAGAGACGGCGTCGTTCCCCCAGACGAAGGTGCGCCATCGATTTCGCTTCCTTTGTTTCTAGGCTCATTTGGTGTAGTTCATTGGACTTCAAATATTAGGGAAATTAGTATCGACGCGATGGAAGACGCTGCCAGAGGGACAACGGCAAGGTGCGTTTGACTAATCCTTCACCTGAAATCTACATTCATTTTGTTAGGGATACGGAATTTCATTATATCGGCAACGGTCAAGGTCACATCCGATGAGGCACTTCTACGACGAGAGAAATTATATGTCAACAAGCTCAACCTAGTGCTTATTCAGGTAAGCTTTGTCGGCCCGTTTTGAGCGCCATTAATGCCACCTAGGTTCTGAAACAAGAATGGCCCCATAATTGGCCCAACTTCATTCCTGAACTCGTCGAATCTTCGAAAACCAACCTCACGCTATGCGAGAACAACATGACTATCCTCAAGCTTCTTTCCGAAGAGGTCTTCGACTTTTCCGCCGAACAAATGACCCAGGCAAAGATCACCAGCCTCAAACAGCAGATGTGGAATGAATTTTCCGAAATATTCAAGCTATGCTCCGAAATTCTGACCGAAGCAAACAAGGTGTCACTCATTAAGGCCACACTCGAGACCCTATACAAGTTCCTAAACTGGATTGCGCTGGGGTATGTTTTCGAGACCCAGATCATCGAGCTGCTTATCAATCGCGTAAGTCATATCGTCAATCTGTAACAATTTTGATCTCATGGTCCAACAGTTCCTCGAGCCGCCGGACTCCCGTAATGTTACGCTCAGATGTCTTGCAGAGATCGCGCGTCTTCCTGCCCCGCAGTACAACGACCGCGTCATCTTTGTCTACACGTCGGTCATGGCTGCCGTAAGCCGTATGATCCCTATACATGCGAACATTGCAGAAGTGTACAAAAATGCCAGTCCATCCGACGAGGAACTTGTACTGAACTTGGCGCTCTTCCTCACCAATTTCTTTGGTGAGCACCTGGAGCTTGTCGAAAACGATACCCACAGAGAACTCCTTCTCAGCGGGCATGCATACCTCGTCAAGATTTCTGCTGTGGAGGAAAGAGAGGTATTCAAGATCTGTGCAGAGTACTGGGCTAAACTGCTTTCGAATTTGTATAATGAGGTTACGGCGCTTCCTATAGGCAACCTGAGTCTGAGTCTCGCCGGTATACCGCACGTTCTAGGCGATCTCAAAATGCGGAAAGATATTTATGCCGAGATTCTTTCGAATTTACGCCTGGTTGTCATCGAGCGTATGGTCAAGCCGGAAGAGGTGAGTTAATCTTTACATGCCGTGCTCCTTCAGTTTAACTTGATTCCTTCCAGGTCCTCGTCGTCGAGAACGATGAGGGTGAGATTGTTCGAGAACATCTTAAAGAAATCGACACCATAGTCCTTTACAAGTCCATGCGCGAGCTTCTCATCTACCTCACCCATTTAGACGTGGTGGACACAGAGGCGATACTTACGCAGAAACTTGCTAAGCAAGTTGACGGGACTGAGTGGTCATGGCAGAACCTCAACACGCTTTGCTGGGCGATCGGCTCGATTTCTGGTGCCATGAGTAGGTATCGGTCACCTTCTATCTTCGCTCTATATTTATCAGCATTCTCAGATGAGGACACTGAAAAGCGATTCCTGGTAACGGTAATCAAGGATCTCCTAGGATTGGTCGAACAAAAAAGAGGCAAAGACAACAAGGCTGTCATCGCCTCGGACATCATGTACATTGTCGGGCAATACCCCAGGTTTCTTAAAGCCCACTGGAAGTTCCTGAAGACTGTCGTGAACAAGCTGTTCGAGTTTATGCACGAGACGCACGAAGGTAACGTTCACTGTTCATGTTTGCTTCTGTTTGCTGATTAAATACAGGTGTACAGGATATGGCTTGCGACACCTTCATCAAGATCGCACAGAAGTGTCGTCGACACTTCGTCATGCAGCAAGCGGGCGAGAAGGAGCCTTTTGTCAACGAGATTTTGCGATCATTAAATCGCATAACGGTCGATCTTTCGCCCCAGCAGGTAATGCAAAGTTTAACTATCCTTCTTTTCGAGTAACATCGAACTCTTCGTTCAGGTGCATACATTTTATGAAGCTGTCGGGTATATGATTGCGGCGCAACCTAATAAGTTTCACCAAGAAAAGCTTCTGGCTGAGCTGATGGATCTACCCAACACTGCCGTGTGTGCCTCAAATGCTCCGTTCCTTCCATGTAGCTGACACTGATGCTTTGTAGTGGGATACGTTGATGGTCCAAGCAGCCCAAAGCGCCGACGTTCTTTCCAGCATGGACAACGTGAAGCTATTCTCTAATGTCCTCAAGTCAAACGTTTCGGCTTGTGTATCCGTGGGGCCATTTTTCCTTCCCCAGCTTGCTCGGATATTCGCGGATATGCTGGGACTTTACAAGGCCGTAAGCGGGATCATCAGCGAGACCGTTGCTAGAGAAGGTACGCAAGTGTGCTCTTCTTTTTTGTAACTACAGAATGACCTATCGCGCCGTTTAGGTTCCATCGCCAGCAAGAAGACCCATATTCGTCACCTCCGTACGGTGAAGAAGGATATCTTGAAATTGATGGAAACATATATCCAGCGAGCTGATGACCTCCAGTCGGTCAATAATTCCTTCATCCCGCCCTTGTTGGATGCGATCTTGGGCGATTACAATCGGAATGTACCAATTGCTCGCGATTCAGAGGTGTTGAATTTGATGACTGTCGTAACTAATCGCCTCGGGGTGCGGAACAGCCTCTATCCATCCTCGAATAATGCTAACTTTGGAGTCCAGCAACTATTGACCCCGCAAGTGATACCGATTTTCGACGCCGTGTTTGAATCAACACTGGCTATGATAACTACCGATTTTACGGAGTTCCCGGAACATCGCCTATGGTTCTTCAGGCTTCTCGAGGCCATCAACAGAAACTGCTTCCCCGGTAAGGTTTTGCCGTAACTATGGTAATATCGATTGACCGACATTTCCGAAGCTCTTCTTCAGTTGCAACCGGACCAGTTCAAGATGTTCATGAACAGTGTATTTTGGGCTATCAAACATACCATGCGTGATATCGCAGATGTCGGCCTAGGCAGTACGTAATTTCATTTAGTTCATTTTTCGCCACGACAACTGACGTTCTGCCCCAGTGCTCAGCGAGCTGATTACGAAGTTCTCCCAATCCCCACCTGAAGTCGCGGGGCCCTTCTTCCAGCAATACTTCACCACGATCATGCAAGAGATATTCTTCGTACTCACCGATTCGGAGCATAAGAGCGGGTTCACCGCGCAGGTGGCGATCCTGGCGAAGCTCTTCCTGTTTGCCAATACAGTGCTGGAGAATGTACCTCTGTTCGAGGCCGAACGAATTGATAGAACGAACAGGATTCTGCTGCAGCAATACCTGGCTAATCTGCTTGGAAGCGCGTTCCCACATATGCAGAAGACACAGATTATCGAATTCGTTGGCGGATTGAACGAGTTTTATAGCGACGGAACCAAGTTTAGAGGGGCTGTGAGGGATTTCCTCATTCAACTAAAGGAGTTCTCTGGGGATGAGCTGTATATGGATGAGAAAGAGGCGGAGGCGCTAAAGAAGGCGGAGAAAGAGAGGCAAGTTGCAATGAGTATACCTGGGATGTTAAAACCATCACAGCTGGAAGAGAAGGAGGAGAATATATAGATGTTGAAGGGTGACGCGGTATCTAAGTTCCTTGCTTTGCTCTTGCTATCATCTGTAATATGTATCTTTCATCTTTTACCAATGTATCCTGAATTAAGCTATGTATGACCGAATTAGTATGTACAGTGGCTCCTAGCCGTGCAAGCCCGCAGCGGATCATAATATGCTATTCTATGTACGTGCATTTATTCACTTAGGGTCAGAAGTCTTTCATTTTACTCGACGCCTTCCAAAGCTACAACACCATCCTCCAAGACTCAAAACTTTCGGACCAGGACACAAAGATTTGATATCGACCCGTACGGAAGCTACCACCGCCACTAACATCATCATACGCCACGGCAAGTACAACTTGGCCAAACTGGACGCTACTTATTTTAGAGAATGATATTAGAACAGGGGATAATATCCATTGTCTGTACATTAAACATTCGGCAGCAAGTAACCGGGGGTGCATGGTATTGTACAGGTAGCAATGCAATGATTCATATATTGACCGTGATGAGACTCGCAGTGACATATGCCTTAAAAGAATCCTAGAAGCGGTCAACGAGGGAGTAGTGTCTCGAAGAGAACGAGCTTACATCCTTCGCATACGCCTCTAATAGCATTTGCACCCTCTCTTTGCTCCAGCCATATTTCGTCTCCATCTTCGTCCTCAACGCACCAGGAGCAGTGAGATACCTTGAAACTCGGACCTTTTCTCCTGGTGGCATAGAATTCCATGCCGCTATCGACTGCGGGAATGGATACGTGGATTTCACGCCCCCCCATGCACCTCCATCCGTTTGATGTACTATAGGCCCTGGAGTATACATACCAGTAGACGGCCACGGTGGGGAGGCTTTCACCGGAAATGAATCGGGATCACATCGTCCCTGCAATATCCGCCAAGGACTGAGACGAACTAGACGGGCTTCGCGTTCTCGTCTGATATCTTCGTTCCAAGGTTGTATGAAGTAACTGTGCATGAAACGGTTGTAGGAGAGAGACTGAAATGAACAGAAAGAAACGTCAGTAAAATACTTGATGGCTGCCTTCCTTCAATGGGAGGCTGGGTTAATAGGCCGACCATTAGAGATCAGACCCACGCCAGTCACTCTGCAGCACCTCTTACACATTTCAAGGAGCGTGCGAGTAATCACTCACCTCTATTTGCCCGGCAACAGCTGATTCTTGCGGACCGTTTTCGCAGCCGGGAAGGTTAACTTGTGTCTCATCAAAAGAGTGGTACCGTCCCAATGCGTCGTCAAAATATTCTTCAGTATGCTTGTCGTATAATCGGCTAAGATTTCGAGAATGCTCATCCTCGAGTTCAGCGGTACGCTCCTTGATATAGTTAAAATCACGTGCTGATTGCCTTAGGTCAGCTTCCATGGCTTCTAAACTGACGAATTTTGGGAAGCATAGAAAGATGAAGACAAAGTCTGAATAACTTACGATGGAATTCCGATATTTTGATTTGCTACAATATCAGAGGCAACGGCATCCAATCTTTCAAGGCGGTCTTGGAGTCGAAATTCTGCCCGCTTCGTAGGAAGAATCCGGCCCCTCGAGATTGGGGGCAAATATGGATTGCTGTACATGTACTCCTGCGATATCATGCCTTTTTGTCACACTAAACTTTCGGGGGAAAGATGGATATCGACCTGTAACGGGTGTTGATGGTGGTTGAGACTAAGCCTAATTTGAAAATGGGTCTATCCGGCTCGGTCCGGTCTTCTTTTTCTCAGACTCCCACTGGTCTAAACTTCTATTTCTTACCTTGCTACTGGCAATTATTTTTCCTTCCGACTCGGACCGCTGCAGACTCGGATATTCTGGTACTTGTAGGCCGTATCGTCATTCAGCAATTTCGAAATGTCCTTTGCTTCAGTTCAAACCGTCGGCCTACTTCTCCATTCCGTGAATGCGAACCCATTTGGCTGTAGTCACAAATCATCATTTTTCAATATTCGTTCTCTGGAGTTACGCTCACTGTCAAGTATATTCAGTATGTGGTTCCACCTATGAGTGCTGATGGCTGTTTTATATCCAGATTACCTGATCCTTGTTACAGTCTGAGCTAATCGACGGTATACGTGTCTCTCGAGATATTTAATCTGTTGCTTGATGCCATCAGGCTGTCCAACACACCACAATTCTCAGCCCTCCGATTTCTCCCTCATTTCATTGGCCTACATGTCATGTTATACACTTTGACGTCAGTCGTCTACAGATTTATAATCCTAGTTCCTTGCTAGGTGCGCGAGGCACGCATCTATAATCCCATAATTTCTGTTACTCTTATCCATATGAAAGCAGGTCATATTATCTTTCTAGTACCATTCGAACGCCTACCGATTCCTTCTCATACCCAACATACCAATGATGTTTTCTGTCAAGCAATCATTCTTACTGTTCCGTCTGTGTCCATTTGTATGGTCAATGCATTGGCCGGAGAAGGTAAGTCTTTCTTCGGCAATGCCGCTCTTGTTCTGACCAGAGTTCCCAGCCATTCGGTACTCAGTACAGTCCCAACGGCATCCTGGAGGCCTGCGACACTCCTTTGCAAGACATCGACCACTTCGTCACGTTTTCTACACACCAATTCTGCCGAAAATGAAGCTGGCGGCGGAGGCTAAAAAGCATATATTAGGTATTATATGACTTCGCCGTCCAGATGGCATCTCCTTCATTCCCATGGCATTTGATGAAACAATAAAGAACAAAATCTCGACGGCAAAGGATGTGAGGTAGACTATTAATATAAACCCATTACTCATCTATACTCCCATGTCCCCCGAGAACGGCGCTCTGCTGTGCGCGTTGGAGCTAAGTCCCTCCATCTGTAACATCAGAACGAGGTAGTTACGGCAATGAGATGCTGTGAAAGGAGATGACCATGGGGTCCGTGTTCCAGTTCATGAAACTTCGCTGTTTTCTAACAGTGGATGTTATGATGGATACCATACACCCACTCACCTATGCTCGTATCTGTGGTACTAAGGCCGTCTACTATGTGGATAGAAGGCTGCTCACGGCATCATTGGAGCGCGGGGCGCGATAAACCTTATCTATCGTTCTTCATATTCATCAACTGGCAGCTGCAATGATCACTTCCGGTTTTCTCTCGTATAATTTCATGGCGCTGCAACATTGGTCTCTTGTCCAATGCCATATCCTGTACCGGATTTCCGTTCGATGGCAGCAGTGCATTCGATACCACGCCCTCCGAATGTCCGCGCGGTTCTCAAGTTGAACTATGCTGTGGTCCATCAGTATCACAAATATCACCTGCCTAAATTCGAATGGGATATTACAGTAATCATAGCGCAATAGGAATCGCTCTAACGGTTCTTTGCCAGAAGTGACACGAGCGGTCCAGGTAAAGAGTGGAACGACCCTTTGATGAGATTTATCAGATATCCACAACTGTCCTCTCATTCGAGGTGAAACGCGTTCAAAGTCTCTCTTCTTAAGCGGTGCACCTGTTGCCGACCGTCCTTGACCATGCGTACCGCTATGTACTTCGTCTTCTTGCCCATCATTGTGAATCTTGCTATGAAGCTCATCGTGTGGACTTTACTTGTGCCCCGTGAAACCCCCGTTGACTACAGTAAGTATTTTCATCTCGTACTGTGAATCATAAGTATGAGCCCGTATATTTATTGATTTTCTGCAGCTTACGACGATGACGACTTCCCTTATGAATGGCCTATTCCCAAACCAGACACCATCTTGCTTGCTATCGAAGATTCTTCTGCCCGATTCAAAATTCAAGGCGCAGATGCAGATGCGGAATGGGCCAGTCTCGTCCCAGGCGACGGCCTTCTTCATCTCGGTGACCGACAGCGTCCTTTTACGCTCGGAATGTTCCATCAGCTGCAATGCCTCAACATTCTTCGCAAAGGCATTCTCGAAACTTATCACTCATATCCCCTTTCTGACAGTGAACTTGTCGCTCACTGTCTGAATTACTTACGACAAATCGTAACCTGCCATTCTGACACCTCGCTTGAGCCAGCGACGGGTCGTAATGTGAAAGTCCATCCGGACGCTTATGTATGTAATGACTGGGAGGTTGTTTATCGAGAGGCAGAGCATAACCAGCGCGACTTTGAAGAGAATCGGAGGCGTCAGGACAAGAATCATTATGTCTCGCGTTAGATTTTGACTCTAGTTCTACTTCGTCAATATAACAAAGCACGAGCCTCTGAAATTTATACATAATGCTAAGATTCATCATAACAGTTACTCAAGTACTCAAGGACCATATAAATTTATAAAATTTACATAGAAAGCCGATAACCAAATCCTAAAACGAATAAATCCTAGGACCCTCAGCTCCAGAGACTAGGGCATAGTAGGAACTATTCAGTACCAAAAATATCTCCAGTCTTAAGCTCCGTCAACTTCATCCGAAGCCCTGTACAGTATCGCGGGCCCCATCGTTGGCTCTGGAAGCACACTCCGTGCTACTACGATCTTTATTTATCAAGCTGGATACAATTAGTGAACTCAAGTACTCACCACCTACTACTGCGTCAGGCTTGGATCGGCTAGGAGCGCAGAGTGACGACGTAGGCAGGAATGTCGCCACAAAAGTCATCTGAATTAAGAGGATGGGAATAACCGCATTCATTTTTCACTGACGTTGGTGGTATGCGGGAAGGATGGTAGATTGTACTGCCTGGGACTTCGAAGATACGAGCCTATATACTGTCTGAGTTGGCGGATGTCGGTTGTCACTTACAAACATAAACTAGAATACATTGACAGGACTTAGCAATGGGCGGCATAAGTATTACAGCCCGGTCTACATCATGATTGGATTAGGGCTACTCAAACGTTATCATGGATGGCAGACCGAGAATTATTTGTGCGCTAGTAATGGTACAGTACCTATTCCTGACACCTGGTCCGATAAGTTTCGATACTTACCCTTGATATCGGGCCGTCTTGATATCACCATCATGATGATTCCTCGGCAAAACTTCTGGGGTCTCAGCCACTTCCATTACCGATCATTCGATCATGATAACCAGAGATTCTATGCCTGAGACACATGAGCAGCGGCCGGGTATCAAGAAGTCACGTAGTCATCTTAAAAGAACATTTCTGGTTCTCTCGGATTTAGATACCGTCACCGGAATGTCCTTCTTTAACTTCCAAATTGTTTCCCCCACTTTTCTGACCAGTCTGTCCTTATAGTTGAATTATATTACTGAAATTAAATCTCTTATTTCAGGTATTCAGCTCGATGAGATCGTCGCGATTGCTATTCGAGCCTATGACACCAGTAAGTTATGAGCTCAAATAAACGGCGAATGATCTTTATATATGACCTTCCTTTCAGACCCCACTATCCGTGCAATGACTGGCGGAAACAAGGCTCTGTACGATCCTTTTTTAAGAGCCGTAACCCGGGCACTGCTACTCGAAGGCAAGGTATGGCTCGCTGCTTCGGATGGTAGGATCCTTGGAGTTCTTGGAGGCTTCGGTCCGGGGACATTTCTTTGGGCAACGTCAGTTTCTCTTGGACCACATATGTCATAGATGGTCATTTGCTCACGGTTACACATTGCATGCTTAGAGAGGAGCAACGTGCCTTAGGATTCAACAATGCCTATGCTCGCCTTACGGAAGAAACAAAATATTGGTGGCAGAATATTGTACGTTTTTGAACCAGGTAATCTTCGGCATTCGCTCAAGATGGGTTTCCTATTAGTATGGGCCGCAGATCAAGGAATTCATGGATAACGCTCTTGGGGCAACCGTCTGTGCAGCTCCGTCTGGATCTCTAAGAAATTTGACGCATATTTTAAGGCAAATCTTGATGGATGGATGACACCACTGTTGGCGGTAGATCCGCCATATCAGCGCCGTGGAATCGCGACCGCCATGTTCAAAGAAATGACCCAACAGGTGAGTCTTGAATATCGTAGCTATTTTCCGTTCTCCAGGCTTAGAACGCCCCTTAGGCAATCCAAGATAAGGCTATCATGATAGTGGGTGCAGACAGCGATCTCAACGTAAGTGACATTCTGTGCACAGAACCGCCTGGGAATTTGTGAAAAATAAACCTAGGTCGGCATCTATGAGAGTTTCGGATTTGAACTTAAGGGTAGGACTGTTCTTCCGAGCTCTGTCAAAGGGGAGAGCCAGCCACTTTTTGCATTGAAGAAAATTCCTTAATGCAGTGTCTAATCATAATTTTCAATGTTGTAAATAATCGATCCATACACATGAAATTGACATAACTGAAGAACGAGCAATAAGAACAAGTTACCCAAGTCATGACCTTTTGTTGGAGGATATCCATATGTATACCCATACCTTTACCTTTTCGATCGTCACCTGTTCTCTTTTGATTATCACCTATTCTTACTTACCACATACACACACCCCCTGTTGTTACCCGATCACCTATATAGCCTGGCCATAGATGCCTGTATACCTCAGTTGTTTCACCTACACTGTGCCTGACTGAGGCATGTATACTGTTATCATGTCCCTTACTATATTACTCACCATCATTCGTAGACTCTTATTTATATTCTTCTGTAAATAGGTACAGTACTTATCCAATACAGTTGTTTCACCTATGCTGTGCCTGACTGAGACTCTTACTGATATTCTTCTGACAATACCTTTCTTTATCCCCACGGTGTCACTTGATGAACAAAATGTAAGATTGTCATGGAAAATAATAGTGTAGTTAATGCTACAGAAGAGCATAAATCGTAGGAACGGGAGCACCATACAAAACATCAAAAGCAGAACGTAATAGTGGATCAATGAAAGAAGATTCAGTTGGCGACACGCGATGCCATTCAAACCATATCTTCACCGGACTCCTTGGTTGTCAGCGCTACGACAATTCGAGCTCTTCCATCGTTCGATGCCGCAGCAGATGAAAACGTTCTAGAGCTATTAACTCTGAAAGAGTCGGAGAACCTATCTACCATGTCTTTGTTCCATGCTATACCCATTGCTACGCGAGTAATAATGAGCTGGGGAGAAAGTGCCTGTAGACTGTCAGTATATAGGAATATCTATTGTGATACGTTGACTCACCACCATGACCCCCCAAATTCCGGCGAATACTTGCTGAGAGGGGCTTTTTACAGCAAAGGCAACAACATACACGACACCAGATATCGTGAAAGGAGCTGCAGACTCAAGCATCATGGCAGAGATGCCGGTGTAAGTGTTCGTCAGCTCAGAGGGAAGAGTTTCGCGGGAAACTTTGTGGAACGACAACAGACGATAGCAGATAAGGGCGGTGACGATGACGTTGAACCCCACGGTCAAGCAAATCCAGGCGATAGCAAAATTAATAGGAAGACCAAAGAAGAGTGTCGATTCTGGGACCGCACTTTGCACAATTGTAATAATGATCATAGCTAGAGCAGAGAGTTAGCGATGATGAGTCTAATGACTTGCAGATCTCAAATTTACGGACCTGTCGATGCCAGCAAAACAAGAAAGGGAAAGCCTACCACCCATATATTGGAATTATAGATTATGTAGCAACGATACAGCTGGGTTTGGAGTTATTTTAAGCATTTATTCCCGAGTATGCACATGTGTAAACCCACCAGAAGGCCGTCTCCCATGATATTAGCAAAGGACACGGAGGCAGTACCCCATATTTCGTACCAGTCCGAGGAATGGTCAGCGAAGTATGCTGGAGCACCACCTGGATAATCAGGATACTGAATCCACATGAGTTGTCCGAGTTGCATGTTGGTTCCACCTCCGATGGCAGTGAGCACTACGAGGATCGCGCCAAAGAGGATATAGAAATTTCTCTGCTTTTTAACTGGGTTCTTGAGCAAGTAAACGAAAGACTGCACGTAGAGACAGATCTGAGCTCCTGCGACATAGGTAAGCAGCATCGTTCACTATCTTCACATGGAAAGTGATGACAGAAACACGTACCAAACACTATAGAGCCAACAATAATTGACACATAGATTGCGCGCTGCGTCTCCAAATCAGAATTGGCCATTAGACTTGGAAGCTAAGGTGTCCTTTGATGAGGGATATCATGGAGAACATCATTCGTTTCAACTTATACCTTGGGCCGTCACTGACTTCGAAGTTTAAGTTTGGAAGGAAAAATACCTACGACCACGTGCTTACTCCAGTGATAATGATCTTGCCGCCCATCACGATTCTGATTCATATACGCCACCGTTGTATCTATAGTAGACCATGCCGTCCAATGTGATGATGATGAACTCCCAGTCGCCAGTCAATACTATTAATTGACAGCTTCTGATTCCGAATCGATTTGCTCAATACAGGCCATTCAAACAGTAAGTACTTATTTGACAAGACTTGAATGTATAAAGTCATGTAGATATCGAATACTGTACCAGCCCCTCCATCCATCGTAGAAATCATTCTCTCTCTTATTCGTCTCCCGAATAACTGTTGTTTCTGAAATGGAAATGAAAGGGTATTCATATATACAAGCTGTTATTGCTGTCACGAGCGTGGCCTCGCTATGCTTCTCATCATATTTCTTCCTATCGACATTCGATCTTCTTCACTCCAATCCTCCTCACAGTGATATCATACGTCTCCCATATGGACGACGAGATCATAGTACGTACTCTTTACTAGCTGACTGAGTTTCCAAACCTTGACTTGGTTGTAGCATTCATTTCAGATGACGTCCCACTTTACTTTCCTTCGCAAGCTGGTTTAGCTGCCATGTTCATTGAAGAGACCGTCCATTACTCCTTTGATGATGCTGGCTACAATGAATGGTGGATCGGAGAAGCCGAGGGAAATGGAACAGTTCGCTTGGGCCCCCAGAACCGCCTTTTCTCCGTCTCTTTTTGGCATCAGCTGCATTGCCTGAGGGTGATGCATGCAGGTTTCAAGGCCGAGGTCGTGTCCCTTGATGACCTGCTGCACGCACAGCACTGTCTCAATCTTCTCAGGCAATGGATTCTTTGCCATGCAGATACTGCCTTGGAACCAAACGACTTCACCCAAAGGAACTTCAAATACGATCGCGGTAATCAGTTACATGTTTGCAACGACTGGGATACACTATATGCTGAGGTATCTCAAAACTGGCATGATTGGGTACGAACGTGGCAACTGAAGAACTTTAACGCAACAACGTAACGTTTATATCACTCCTTCAAACAATTTCAACTGAATATAGTATCCAGGGAAGATAATTAAACACCTTATGACATCATGTATAATCACATGTATTTTGTAGCATCAAAAACAGTACAAGGCGATGAACTTAGACAAACTCGTAGTTTCAGTGAATGCATTGTAACCAAGGTGCGAGATTGCCTAGGAACGGCATCATCTTGTCTGCCGCTGTAAAATATAGAAGCCTATGCGTATACAGTCAGCGACCGCCTAACTAGAAATCATTCGGACTACCAAACTCTGCGGTGCGTTCACCGATAACATCAAGATAGCAGGGATAGTGAACACAGCTGAGTTCGAAAGTGAGATATGTGCCGGATGGGCAGTAGAACGGAGGGCCTTCTACTGTACGTCCATCAGAAATATTGAGCAAACCAACATGCATCCTGGCAGAAGGCAAGCTTCCCCATGAGAGCCTCTTCGTTCGGAGTCGACGGTCAAAGGGGATCATGGATATTTCGATAGATGTGATGTTGCTCTGATCATCGGCTATGGCCGGACTCTTAAATGAGTCGGGGGCAGGCAATGTGAACGCGAAAGTGCAATTCTCCAAGCCATAATCTTGAGCTCTGAATTGTACAATTGTACTGAGCTAATGTCATTGGATAAATGAAACCTTGAGTGACTAGCAGATAAAGAACAAAATCAATCTCACCCGGTCATTAAGGAGGTAGTGTTGGTAGACTAATTGACTATAGCCGAAACTCTCGTCAGCATACACGTCCACTGGTTGTGGAAAGAACCTATCCGGTTCATAACGGGAGACCTGCCCAACAAGTAAAGGCAGATTATAGACAGGTGTTTTGAGGACAAAGCTCGAAGAACGATTCTGATAGAGCTTGTCGAGGTTTGTATACGCGTTCCTCAGTGGAAGAGCGTCTGGGGAGATTGTGGTCTGAAAACCCCATACACCGGACCGCAAGGTAGCGAGAATTACGATGGCGATGCAGTCGATGACTGTGCATAGGACAAAAATGTAAAGAACCCAAGTCGTATAGAGGTAACGAGGTGTGTCCTTCGTGCGGCCATTGTCTGATAAGGTACCATGAGTAGTAAGTATTTCGCCAGAGCTAGACTACATACCAAGTACAGAGGTCTCGGACGACTGAGAGGAGTCATCAGAAAGGTGCAGCTCACTAGCTACTTGGTCCAAAGCAATGTACTGATGACGATCACGTTGGCGCAAGGCAGCAAACATTCCTGATACTACGAGTGAGAACGATACTTCAGTATCTGAGTGTGTCGACAAGAATTGCTTATATTTATGGCGGCCAAGGATCTGACAATGATGTGCGGCGGGTGAACAAGGAAATCGACAGAGACAGGGTGAAAGCGTGATTTGATGATCGACTCGATGCACGTATTAAGAGAGGAAAACGATTGGGAGTGAGGTAATACTCTCGTATATAATATCGGCGAAGTTGGTTGGACCAGGCTGGTGGCTCCTGATATGGGCGGTGATACCAGGGAGCACACTGCTTCGTCCAAGTTGGCCATCGCGTAAGATACATCAACATGTTGGAGGATATCCGTATATGTCCATACCTTTACCTTTTCGATCGTCGCCCGTTCTCTTTTGATTATCACCTATTCTTACTTACCATATATACACACCCCCTGTCGTTACCCGGTCACCTATATAGCCTGGCTGTAGATACCCATGTACCTCAGTCGTTTCACCTATGCTGTGCCCGACTGAGGTACGTATACCATTATCATGTCCCTTACCATATTACTCACCATTATTTGTAGACTCTTACGTATATTCTTCTGTCAATACAACAACATTCCAATGAGGTAACTGACGAATCCAAAAATTCGTCAGGAAGGTCATAGATCACACCGCTTGACGAACCGATCTGTTCAGGGCTATGTCGAGAGTAAAAATTCCGTCGGCTCGTCATTCTCGAGATGGGAAATCACTTCTACGGAATCTCACGGCAAACAACTGAGAGGAGATGAAGTGTCATCTTTCCCAAGAAGGTGGAGTTAACGAGATCATCGTCTCTGATGTACAAGAGCGAAAGAGCGCACGATATTCCTCCATCACTGGCAAACATGGAGAAGGTCCATCCAGCTTCGGTGATATCTGCGAAACAACGACATCCCTGGGCCCGGACCAGGAAGAAAGCTGGGAATGTCCAGCCGGATTTCCATTAAGATGAGAGAATCTCCATCGGGAGCCAGTTTATCGGCTGGAGGTCATTGTGTGTACATCGAACCGTCGCTGATAATTGCTGAAGACTTTCATTAAGTTTCTCTAAGTGAGCACTGTTATCTTGTTGCAAATATGCAAAGGAATAGTGAGAGACCTACCTCTGATGCAGAGCGTGATCTGATACGATGTTGTCAGACCCCGATCTGGAAAATTTACCGACACTTGCCTGTAGTTGAATCTGTATTTGAGGGCTCAAGTAACTGTTTCGTCGGCATAGCATAAGTATTCAGATACAAGATGTGTCAGTGATGGCGATCTGGAGGCTGGCAGAGGACTTGCAGAGGATTCGGTCCACGAAAACGCCGTTGATTCGGTCAGAGAGTCACCAACCAGACGATCTCACGGTTTCATGGAGGAAAGCAGGCTAGGATATGAAAATCTGGTTGGCTGGAGGTGACAGTTGGTTGATAATTGAAATGATAACGGGCGGATCAAGCAAGTGGATTGCCGATTTTGATTTTCGATTGTATCCAGGAAGAACGACTTGTGAGTTCTGATAAATATCAATATATAGTTAGAGCAGAGAATTGAGGGTGATAGCAATACGCGAATTGTGGTATCATATTATATAAGATTAATAAAAAATTGATGACCTCCTAGAGGGTGCAAGCACCCTTTCTGCGACTGAGGGACTAATATCGGGGAACCCATTCTCACCTCCGCTCCCAGGAGAAGGAAGCGGGGACAAGTAGCCAAGCGCCCGTGCTAATTCCAGCTGACCCTTTAAGTACCCGATATAATTCCACAGCTTTGCAACGTCACCGTGCTCAGGTAGATCATGTTCAGGAAACATCACTAATCCCTCTCCCTGTGAAGAATTCCTTAAGTTCGTTACGAACTCACGTAATCCCATCGGGCTGTTTCTAGATAACGGGTATGCAACAGTGCGATTTCGGGGTATGCGACGAGACGGCGGCATATCCTCCGAGATGTAAGGAGCGGAGATTGAGTGTTCTGTGGCTTCGGGACTGAATGAGCGCGTGTAAGACTGAGAGTCTGTCGCGGAGGATGGTAAAGCATCTCGGGGATACCTCATATTCACCGGAAACTCATACACCTCCATGGACCTGCTTCCGGATGGTGGGTATGGAATGGCGCCATTTTCTTGGTTACGCTGGGAGTGTGATTTTTCTTCGGAGTTCCGAGGGGGATGGGAAAGTTCGTTGGTTTGAGGACCAGGTGTGTGGACGTAAGGCAGAGAGTCACTGCCAGGATATGGCGAGGTCGGGTTTGCCGACAGTTTAGAGTGAAATTCAGGATGAACATAAGATTCTGATGTCCCCCAAAGGGAGCTTCGACTGTCTCTGGAAGACAGATCCTTCACAGATACCCGTCTCCTTCGCTTGTTGAAGCAGAGATATATGGATATCATCACGACAGAGACAAACGAGGGTGCCGCAAGAGCCGTGGAAATAATCAAAACAAGGTCCGTTATATAGGCGCTTCCGAAAATGCTGCTGTTTATGATGAGTTACTGGTAAATACGGAAGATGGACGACACACTGTCGTGAGCTGCCAGTCGGAGAGGATACTAGATCTCGCTTTTCGACTTCCGAATTGAGGGGCTCCCTGACATTGAAGATGTCACTTCGAGAGAAAGACGACTCGGCATCTAACGGCGGTCTAGTCGACAAGGACGTTATACTGATGCTGAGAACAATCAATCTCATAATCAAAACAAACTCACTCTGGGTCTAGGAAAGCCATGATAGAGTAATTGCTTCGAAAAGGAATCAGTAGTGGTCATCGACTACAAAAGACGTTACTCACCCAGTATAAGCAAATGATGTATAGAACACGAGGCCCTTCGTAAAAAGGATGATGCTGGTAGAGAAATTCGACGCATCTAACCGACCCTCATGATTCAGAAAGCTGCGTAGAGAGAAACTTGACGGATCATCATCAAAATGCACGAGATAGATTGGGGTGGTCGCTCCAGCGAGCGTCCCGTTTTGAACACTAATGTGGAGGGCTTTAGATAGACAGAAAAGCTCGAAAAGTGTCATGCTAAACGTCGCACCAAATAATGAGTAACCGCATAATAGCTAACACAAATGCAACCCACAATATAAATAACCAAGACATCTAGATGGTCGGTCACAAAGAGCGATGTATGAAAGGATGGCGAGGCGACAAAAGAACGTTGGAGAAAGAAGCCGAAGAAAGAGGTCGGTAGGCAAGAGAAATAAGGTCAGTCGCTAATGTCCTCGACACGAGTACAGAGGTACTTTGTAGGGTACAGCAAAGCAACCAACATCGCATCTTCATCTATCAGCATAGTAGTGGCTGACTGGGGAGAGTATTGTTATAGAGATATTATCTGAACACCCGTAACAGTCGCCTGCTTTATCTCTAAACTTAGCAGACATGGGGAACTGCGCGGCAATGAGCGCTGATTTTGAATCGCGGCGGGGACGCATATATACCGCGAACTAGATTAGATAGCGCAGATCAGCATTCCGCGTTGCTCGGCCGGGGAACATGATCTACCATGTAGAAGTTCGCAACAAGCGCTAACGGGCATCGGAGGACATGACTGAACGAGGCTTGGTTAGTAGCCAACGTACTGTACTGATACCGAGTCTAAGGTCTCTACTCAATATATCATTGGTCAAATTGAAAAGGCTACAGCGGCGGACGGAGGGTTACCTTTATCAAGCGGTTGAGATGAGACGGCTAACCTGATTCGCCCATATACAGGCTCCAGGAGAAGTTTCTCATCATCGCGTTGAGAAATTAAAAAACCTTGCCGTCACACCGAGGTAGACGTCAATGAGTGGTCAGCAAAGAGTCTTTTAGACCACATGCTGGGACATCTAAGCCTTGATGCTTCCTGCTATTTCGAGATTTATAAAGCCTGATGCAAGAGATCATGTAGACTCACAAGGGGAATCATACAGTGACTGAAAATCATCCATCAAGACAGATGGAAATAGCACTTCTTATGAGGGTGATAGATTCGGTGCGCAAAGAACCACGCAACGGATAGCGAGTCACTATCTCTGCCTCGGTCGCGAAAATAGTACAGCAAGTGCCCGATATCTGACCATCGTCATGTTTGATGCCTGATGAATCGGTGAGTCATGCATGTACTTGCGAAAAAAAGAGCGGACAGACGTCACAGAATCAGGTTTCAAAGACAATCTCTATTGAAAGTATGAACAGAATTCCCATGGTACTCGGTAAACTAGGAAGTTTTGTCAAGCTTATTACATTTATTGAATAATAAAATGGCAGAAGACTGGAAAAATACTGAGACCGACAGAACAAAGACATCTTTCGTTGCCCCAGTAGAACTTGTTGTATTATTCGTGGCGTGAGCTGATTAAAACGTGTTTGCGTCGTCGTGGGAGTTGAGCGGTCGTTACTGTGTGTTACTGGGAGCTGAGGCCGCCCAAATCGGCAATGTCCGTGAAGACGGGTTATTACGGCTCGACATCTAATAAACAGTGCGAAAGCAAAACTCGAAGATCACACTCGCTACTGGTACCATTGAGTCGAGTCTCAGCTGGTGCACTATGTGCAGTACGATTCAGACAACAGATACCAATGATGCTCCCTGAGTACAGCAGTTGTGCTACAGTAGCTTGCAATCATCCCAACTTGAGCATCGTCTGACACTGGTCAGCACTAAATCTCTTTCCATGTAATTGGGAATCGACTGAATGAGATGATCCATAATGTCCAGATGCATTAAACTGTCCAGATTCTGGCAGTGTATGTTCTAACCTTGGTGCTAATACACTTCTTCACCCACCTATGCTTCATTTTTTCGTGCTGTAGCTACTCGCTGTCTTGTCGTACCTGGGACTGTGCTAAAAATTTTATGCTTGATGCGATGTGCCTGATAAGCCCTATCCTGACTACATCTTTAGACTTGGTTTCTGATTGTGCCAGTTCTGCTGCATTTGCTACTAGTACCTCTTTTTCCGATGCTTTGTACTTACAGCCATTTTTCATACAGCTTGACTGAGGGGTGTTTTTGATGGATGATGTCAATGAGTGCTAGCACTCAGACTTCATCATAAACTGAGTTTTGGGGACTGTGTGCATGCAAAAGTGGATCTGAGATCACCAAAATCTCCATAAACCAGCCCATAACCACTGTAAAATGTGTCTTCCAGTCCCCATAAGCCATGGGCTGGTCTCCTCAAGACATAGGTGCTCCTTGAAGCAGAGGTGGCTATCAGAGTGCTACCATCATTTTCCCATGAACCTGCTTATATACATCTATGGTGCTCTCTCATTCTGACACCATCTAGATGTCTTCCTTCAACTTCAAAATTGTTTCCCCCACTGACCTGACCAGTATGTCCTTTGATAGTGTTGGAGGATATCTGTACATTTCATCTTATCTTACTTTTCAATCACTCACTCTATTTACCTTATATATACTTACACCTCCTGTCGTTTTCTGATCACCTATATAGTCCAGCCATTCCTATCTGTATGCCTCAGTCACTTCACCCATGTTGTGCCCAACTGAGGTATGTATATCTCTACTGTGCTTATGACTATGATACTTACACTTGTTTGTAGATACTCACATATATTCTTCTGTCAATAGGTTATGAGGCTCTGTTGCCTATAACTACTCAGTCAAGAAGAATATGCAACATAATCTCAACTCAACTTACCACTTGAATTTATACCATACTACTACTCTCACCACTTTACACCACACCTCTAAATGATGTTGTCGATGTTGGGAATCACTATCCTCTCTGACATGAGTAGCCATTTCAACAGGAAGAACTACACCTCATGGAAACTCCAACTTACTGAGTTACTGAAGGGAAAAGGCCTATGAGGATACATTGCAGGAACTACTGTCTGTCCTGCCATCCCTGCCACCACTACCACATCCATGGCTATTACCACACCTCTTCCATCAGACCCTACTCTCATATACTCATCCTCTCCCTCATATGACAAGTGGATTTTTCATGATCAGCTTGTCCACTTGAACATTGTCCTCAATGTTCTCAACCCTATTGGTCTAGGGGTCAAGACCAACAGAACAGCAAAGGAATACTGGGACTCCATTGCTGCAGAACATGCAAAGAAAACAGATATGGCCCTTTTCAAGGCTGAGGCATTGCTGAATGCAGTGAAGTTTGATAGGAACAGTGACATCAATATTCACATTGCTGACTTGTGCATGAAACAATGAGCTGTGAATGACCTTCAAACCACAGCATTGAGTGATCAGGAGTTCAAGAGAATAATTATTTGCTCGATAACCCTGACTGATCACTGGATGCCTATCCTCTCAAGTTTATATGGCATGCCAACATCCTCTGATGTGTTTTCCCATCTTCAAACCCATGCTGCCACACTTCATGCAGTGGGTAAAGATCCTGCCAACTCCCAAGCACTTGCAGCTGGAGTTGGAACCTCTGTCATAGTATGTGGATGTCACAACCCAGATTGCAAGGCCTGTGATAAGACTAGGCACATCACTGAGAATTGTTATTGGCTGAAAGAGGAAAAAGAGGGATAATTTCCTGCCAACTTTGACCAACCTTGTTGTGCAAACCAGGCAATCTCAAACACCATGGCTGATACTATGAGGCATTTTGTACTTGCTGCATGTGCTACTACAGTGAAAGTTGATCATGATGATGATAGTATTGTAATTGAGGATGGCAGCACTGGTGAGAGGATATATGAGTAGAATGGTACTCATTTCTTCTGGCATTGGAATGAAACAGAGAGCAGCACTATGTTGATGTTGAAGGTTGAAGAAGACACAGACTTTGAAATGCCTCCTCTCACTGACATCAATGACTCTGATGATGAAGACATTGCTGGAGATGATGAGATACCTTCTGTCAAGAGTATAGATACCAGCAAGACCAACATCAAGAATGTAGGACACTTTACATGTGAGGCTGACCCTGCTATGACAGCCTTTGTCATGACTACATTCAAAGGCCATACTCCAGCCATCACTCTAACCTTCATGGATTCTGGCATGAATGACTACTTCAGGAATCATGATGACTTCACAGAGTATACACCAGTAGCCTTCCATACTGGCTCATCTGCAGTTGAGGAAAAGGAAATGTTTGAGATCCTGAGCCAGGGTACAGCAACAAAGGTCTTCAGACTGAATGAAAGAGATGTTAAGCTCACCTTCAAAAATGCCTTGCATTCACCTTCACTCACCACAAATCTCATCTCTGCAAGCATCTTAGACAAGGATGGGTTGTCAACTGTGTTCTCTGATGGCCATGCAGTTGTCCAGGATAAGTCTGATAAAGAGATCTTTGCTGAGCAAGGCTTGGATGGCATATATATGCTAGATGCTACACCCAGCCCTCAAGCTATGGCACCCTACTCATCAGCCCAGAATAGATTAGCTGAATGTGCCCTACACACCACTATAGAGGATACAAGAGCTCTACTAAGTGACTCTGGCCTCACTGACTGCTACTGGACTGAGGCTGCCTCTATATCAATCTTCACATGAAATCTTGTTCCTTCAAGTTGCCATCCTGGAGTGGTACCAGCAGAGGGTTTCTTGAAGCAATGACAGGACATGGGATTTTTATAAGTGTTCAGATCCACTTGCTGAGCAAAGAAACCTATAGCTGGTGGGGTTTTGGTAGATGGCAGAAGCAAACTCAATGATTGATCAAAGAAATGCACCTTTCTGGGATACTCAGGGTCCAATTACCATGTACTTGATCAATTGGGATATGTGTTCATGTCTTATGATGTCATCTTTGATGAAGGACCAGCACACTGAAGTGTGAGTGTGGGGGAGACAGAGGACAAACCTGCACTCACTACTTCTACTCATACTGAGATGCCTATGCTAACTGAGCCAACTGAGCCAATGCCAGATGCTTCCACAGAACCAACTCTTTGCTGATCAACATGCTTAATGCATCTCAGTGCTGATGCTGCTGAATCTCTGATGTCAAAGCAACAAGAGGCTGAGGCCCATATGAGCAGAAATGACTGGGCAACCAACAGCAAACAGCCACATGCTTCAATGGCTTCTGGTAATCCACCTGATCCATACATCCCATAAAATCATTAAGATGCACTGCATGTCAATGAAGAGTGATGGAAGGCAGCCATGGATGTGGAATACCAAATGCATATGATAAAGCATATGTGGGATCTAGTTGACAGATCAGTGGGTGTGAACATGATGGATTGTAAATGGGTCTATGGTATGAAATGGGATGGCGATGGTAACTGGATCAGAGACAAGGTGAAGCTCATTGGGAAAACCTATGAAGACCTTGGATACCATGCATCAAAGATAGACCCATGTGTATGCACCATTGGCAAACCTGGAGATGAGTATACCATCACAGATACTTACACTGATGATATGTGGGGAGCATTGTCAATTACAGAGGAGGCAAGCTGATGGAAGAAGAAATTAGAGGAGAAATGGGAGCTCACTGATATGGAGGAGAACTGTTACTTTCTGGGGATGAAGATTGAACAAGATCTTGAGGCTGGCACCATCACCTTCTCACAGTGCCCATATTGGGAGAATGTATTTCTGGACTTCAATCTTAGATATGTACAATCATGGACCACTCCTCTACCTGTTTGAATCATACTTGACAAGTCACAGTCTCCAAATACCCCAGCAGAGAAGGATGCTATGGAAAGATTCCCATACTGACAACTGCTAGACAATGTTATGTGGGGACAGCTTGCAACTCATCCCGACTTGTGCTTCCCTGTGAGCCTGCTCACTTGCTTTCAGTCTAACCCAGGGATAGAGCACTGGAAAGCATTAATACATGTCCTTGGGTACATAAAGGGGACAATGGACCTTGGTATCTCCTTCTTGCATGAGCAGCTGTTAACACCTGTTGGATTTGTAGATGCAGACTATGGGGGTTGTAGGGATACAACTTGTTTGATGTCTGGCTATGTCTTCACCATGGTGGGTGGTCTGATTTGCTGGTCTGATTTGCCGAAGCTCAAAGCATCAGGCTACCATTGCCCTGTCCACTGTTGAGGCTGAATACATTTCCCTTACTTGTGCAGTGCAACAGATGATGTGGATATTGTCTTGGATGGATGAGGTCCAACTACCTCAACCTCACTCCAGTGTATTGTATGGTGACAACCAGGGTGCTGTAGCATTAACAACAAACACATGGTCCCATCAGAAAGTCAAGCATATCTGCATTCAAGAACATTTCATTAGGGAGCTCGTGAAGGATGGCAAATTACATGTCAAGTTTGTTCAAGGGAATGCAAACCCTGCAGATATGTTCACCAAGCCCTTGCCTCATGATATGCACAATGGTTACCTCGAGATGCTCAACATTATCCCAGTAGATTGAATGGATATGGGGGAGTGTTGGAGGATATCCATATGTTTCATCTTATCTTACTTTTTGATCACTCACTCTATTTACCTTATATATACTTACACCTCCTGTTGTTTTCCGATCACCTATATAGTCCAGCCATTCCTATCTGTATGCCTCAGTCACTTCACCCACATTGTGCCCAACTGAGGTATGTATATCCCTACTGTGCTTATGACTATGATACTTACACTTGTTCATAGATACTCACATATATTCTTCTGTCAATAGATAGGGATGTTGCTCTCTGTAAGGAACACTTTTCTCTCAGATGCTCAGCTGAATGAGACTGTTGCGATTGCTGTTAGAACTTACGATACCAGTAGGTTATATCAGCTTATGATAATCTTGCGGGACGTTTATACATGACTTCCTTTTCAGTCCCTTCTATTCACGTGCAATGTCCTGTGGAGACAAAGCTCTTTATAATCCTTTTTTTTAGAGCTGTAACCCGTGCACTAGTCCAGGACGGCAAAATATGAATCGTTGTTTCCGATGGCAGGATCCTTGGAGTTCTAGGAGGCTTTGGACCCGGGAAATTCCTTTGGGCAACGTCAATTTACTGTTTCATACCCTGTTATTTGGATTGACTTTTTCTTTTATACCGCGTATCTAGGGAAGAACAGCGTGCCTTGAGGTTCAACGATACTTCTGCTAGGTTGACGTCAGAAACAAAGGATTGGTGGCAGAATATTGTACATATTTCATGTTGGGCGAAACTCGGCGCAAACTCAAGTCTATATAGTATGGGCCACATATCAAAGAATCCATGGACAACGCTCTAGGAGAAACTGTATCCACGTTCCTGCGAATATTAATGAAGCTGACGGCTGCTTAAAGGCAACCTCTACTATTGGATGACACCGCTCCTGGCGGTCGACCCACCCTACCCACGCCGTGGAATCGTGACTGCCATGTTCAAAGAAATGACCAGTCAGGTAGTTTGTAACATTGTAACTATCTTTCTCTCTGACCTTAGAAACTTCCTTCAGGCGATCCAAGATAAGACAATCATGGTCATTGGTGCAGACAATGATATCAATGTAGGTGGGACTATTCTCTCTGCAGAATCCCAGGCCTGTGTAACAAATATGTTTAGGTTCATGTTTATGAGAGTTTCGGGTTCGAACTGAAGGGTAAGACCGTTCTTGCGAGCTCTGTTAAGGGAGAAAGCTATCGGCTTTTCGCGCTGAAGAAGACTCCCTGAGTGTCGTGCGGAGATGTGGCTTTCAACGATGTCATAAACAATCAATATATACACTTCCATTCCGCTCAAATCTAGGATGAGTAGTCAAATGCAAGTTATATAAGCTGTTCCATTCTTCGTCCCAGCATTGGAGTCACAGGCACTTGTATAGAACGAGAAAAGCAAGCAATCCGGAAGTACATCAGGGAAAGAACGATACTCATCCACTACACCACAGGATCGCAATCCCGAAATATTTTGTCCCGAAGCTTTATGAAGCTCTCAAACGTGACAACAATGGCGGAGGAACGATTGTATCGATCGCATGTTGCTGGTGAGACTGCGCACCTTCCTTGTTATGACCAGTCACTTTGACCGGAGCGCATTTCACCAAAAATCCTCTTCTTCTTCCCCCTCCTCGTTATTTGTTCGTGCTTCCTACGACTTTGCCATCTTCATGGGAAGCCCCCAAAGATACTCATCATGCAGGCCAACATAGAAGGAGAGAAAGTCGGGCTTGTTTCGCCCCGTCGACAAGTTAGGCATCTCCCTTGCCATGCCGCGGTCCGACCCTGTGGCCGAGTTGGTCTGGCAAGTGCTCCAGCTCCGACAGGCAGTCGATGATGTCATTGCAGATATCCTTAGACGGTGGATAAATATCAGTCTCTCCTAGACAGGCGACGATATACCTTTTCGGTGGGATGAGGATGATATATGTAGGTAAATATCAGGCTTCCGCTTCTCTAAGTCAGCTAGAGTGAAGATGTATCTATCCATGACCGACTTTTTTAAGCCTCCAGCCTCTGGTAAGCCAGAATACTTTGTTGATGACCTCTTAAATCCCTAGACATATCTCATCCATTTCCCAATGTCGGGTGCGTCATCTGTCTGTGAACCAATAAGTGTTAGAGTGGCCTGTAAAAGCTGGATGCAGGAATTAGCCTTGTAGTAAAGAATCACGTGGAATAAATTCACCTAAATAATCTAACGAAGAAGATGAGCTAAAGAGATGACTCGACTGCTACGATTCGACAGCAATTCGTTTTGAGTACTAGAAACTTTGAAAATTGGGAATCTACGACGCGAGAGCTCGTAGTATATGATAGTGGGATAATCGGAGAGTTGTACGGCGAAACAAAAGGGAAAATAAACGGAGATGACGACGAAAGCGAGGTGGCTAAGTGGCAGTAATATGATTGTCCAGGGTTCAGGTCGCGTTGAGATCACATGATCGATCTTGCAAATTTCGGTCCCGCGACCACGATTGTAATCCCGCCCACACATACTCCCTCCGCTCCTCAAGCAGCTTAACCGGAATATATACTTTACATTCACTGAATGACTTCTCCCCATACGTATCCCTGAGTCATTCTTACGAGACCCCCTTTCAAAATCGGGCGACGATGGCTAGACAACGCTTGCACTAGTGCGAAACACTAGGATAGTAAAAACACCGTTTATAGATTACCGGATGCGCGAAATGAAGCTCTCACTGTCACGCGCTCCAATGATGCCGATGGTGTAGGGAAAAGGGTGACAACTGCGGATGTTGCAACCGTTTCATTTATCTTTCGCTGGAATGCTGGGAAGAAACCGGGTTCGATACCGCAGTAGAGACTGTAGCTCGTGAGTGTGTGCCTCGATTGACAATGATTCACAGCATTAATACATCACCCCCCTTCTCGGCCTATTAGACGTATTCTTCTGGCGGTAGCTACTGACAAAACGCAACAGCTCCTAACATCACATCTGTGATGTCAAGATATTATATGTCTATTTATGAAGTGACGTGGGATGAATGGTGTTCTTGCTCTCGTTCGAGCGTCTCATATCCAGGCGGTAAGTGCACTCGACCCTCATCCATACCCATAAGTTGCTGAAACTCGCTAGAAAATGGCTTAGGGCGAAAGAATATGATTCTGTGCTACGATTTAGGTAGGCCATCTTGATGGACAGTTCAGCATCATGTTGGTTTCCTTGAAACTATACTCCGCCATCATTTTAACATGATACAGCGTGGTCCTCTTCTATATATAACGCGCCGTATAAAACGTTCTCTAACACGGTACATCGGACTTCTCTTTTCTAGGACATTGACATTAACTTTCGCTATTTCATGAGTTCATCCGCGGACGCAATACTCCCTGAGATGGTGCTTCAAGGATGGCTCGACGCCAATTTCAATTCTCACCTTCTTGCATATTTCGCTCATGGTCAGACGTCAAGATCAAACATCTCTGAACCTGTCCTAACCGTTGAAAAGGTGTTTATACGGGCATTTTTGGAATGTCAATATGGCTACTACTAGGTATGAACATTGACTCAGCTCGTCAACCTGTCTTAAACCTTTTCCCCTCAGTTAACAGCGTCTCCAGGGCACGAATATACATGGGATGTATAATCACGGCTCTATACATCTTTGCCACGATCGCTGCCATTGCCTTATGGATCGATTTTAGCGACGCTTTTGTCATTGGAACATCTTTCCAGGCGCGATACGATTTGATGTCTTCATCTGTGTTGTTGGAAACTATGAGTGATATAGTAGAAGCACTGAACCTTCTAATTGCAGACTGCATTATGGTGTGGCTTTTTACTTCTACCGGAATTACTGCTCTTAATGGTCGCCTTTTAGATCTGGCGTTGTTGGGTTGTATGGGGACACGATTGGAAAGTAGTGATCACTCCGATTTTCTTCGTCATCATCGAAATAGGTATGCTGCTTACGCCGCTTGTGGCTTCATCGATGTCATCCTGCAAGCACTTGCCTTTTTTTTTGCAGCCTGCGGATGCATACTTTTAGTTCATCAGACCAAGGACGACGTTATTACGATAGCCTGGGCTCTACCCACCATGGCTATGACCTTAGGAACCAACATTCTATGCACCGGTCTGATTGTCGGACGTATTATTCATGTTGCTAGAGGACATCGTGGCGTTATGGGCGGCATCCGGACTTATCGTGGTGTTATTGAGATTCTCGTAGAATCGGCCGCACTGTATTCTTTGATCTACATGGCCCTGATGATACTCTACCCTCTCGAGGGTTATGGATACACATATGCCCAGCGGTTGACTTATCCTATCACTGTGGGTCTTTCTACTTCAATTCGCATCATTTTTGCCTAACAAGCCTCAGGGTATCGCACCTACCTTGATCATCGCCCGCGTTGCCTCGGGACAAGCCCGTCCCGTAGAGTCTTCACATGAAACTCAATCTTCCTTACACTTTCAGGCATCTCGTGGAAGCACTACTGAAGCAGAGATGGACGACGTAGAGGAGGATATGATGCAAGGAAATATGGAAGGAACTACGCTCATTACAGGACGACTCGAGCTATCTGGTTCGGTCGAAGAAGTCTGAAGCCGTGAGAGAGGGATTATGTCGACTTATCTTCGTGTCTAGATTGTCAATATTTTTTGCCTTGTCAAAATAAAGCATTCTTTTTGCTACTGAACACGACATATTGTGCATGTTGAACTCCCTCTTCACGTTTTTAAAGTTTTTTTTCTGTTCGTCAGGATCCTTATTAGGATAGGGGAGCTGAACACAGATGACTAGATATATTCAAGTCCAAGAAGAAACAATCCATGACAATGAAAAGCAGCGGGCGGCATGGGATTGAGATCCTCCAAAACACGAAGTTTGTTGACCCCAAAACGATGCTCCTAAAACATTAAAGTCGTGCTCAAAATTCAGGTTTGTTAAAAATGTTCATCTTTCCGGTGTGAATAAGCTTCCATCCTCTGTCAGGTCTGTCCATTAACTGGTCCGTCGTACACACGAAAAGATTCGGCAACAACAGAGAATGCCAGTGGGTTTACATTCCACCAAACAGAACATAAGTGAGCAGATGTTAGATAAATAATATATGCCAAAGTACTTGTATTATGTTACACATTGATAATATATTGCATCGTATTCTACTTTGGGACGGAATGCCCTTTTCTCTAATCATGCAGAAATGTCACCTATCACAGGCTTCAGGTCGCTAAAAGTCGACGTCGTCCAGAGATGAACGCTATTCGGCCACCCAGGAGGCAAAAACGCCGTCGACCTCTGGTCATACGAATATTCCACATGCTCGATATGCTCACCGAGCTGCTCCTCGTCGTCCGCGATCATATCGACAAACGTATTGTCAGGGAACGGCGAAGGGACAGTCGCCTCTGGCGAATCCGTCTGTGGAACGAGAAGTTGCTTTACCTCCACTCTCTCCAGCGGGCTCCCCCGCTGCTTCCTCTCCCTCGCTAGCTCGCTGATATAGAACGCCTGGATCGCCCCTGGCGGTCCCTCGATAGACAACGATCGGAGCAGAGGACACACCACCACCTGTCCCTTCGCCACCTTGCCATTGCCATTGTCCGGTTTAAGAGGCCCGAGAATGACCCTCGACGACGTCCATAACGTAGTGGGTGGCTGAATGCAAAGGTCGACGAGGCTGGGCAAGTGCTGGAACGTATCGCGCCACAGCGCTGTCGTCATCGCGGGGTTAGTGAGCTGGTCTTGAATACAGAAGGTGCGGACTTCGGATAGAGGGAACGTGGAGGGAATCTTTTCGTAATGGTCATGGGAGAAGATGCCGTGAGTGTAGAGAACGCCCTTGGTGAGTGCGACGATTGTGTACATCGTGGAAGGCATGCATGAGAGGCGCCATTCGGTGATGTGGTCGAGGTTCTTCAAGTTGGAGTGGTCTGAGGGGAGGAGCCGGGATAAGTCCCCGTTCATATTTCCGCCCGCAGGATCGTCGCTCTGCGTGAGATCCGTCCAGAGATACATGCTCGTATGTGATGGGAGGGATAGATACGAGAGCAGTCGTTTCACGTGAGTCAGATCGCTGAGCTTTCCCCAGTGTAGCTCTCGGAGTGAACTAAGCTCGACGAGCCGATCCGGAGGAGGCGCTGGAACGTCTTCCTCTTCCGTGCGAGAGGGTCCGGCGGAAACCATCGCAAGCACCTCCAAGGCGGGACATGCTTCAAGAAAATCGAGAAACTGTGAAGTAGTAGGACGGGAGGATTGTGGTACGGGCTGATGATGGAAGCAGACGTGCGTAAGAGAGGTGAAGTAACCACTGGGCCAGGTCGAGAAGTACTCGAGACACAGCTTCCGTAATTTCGGCATATGTCCGTTAAACAGCGCCGGAAGATGACTCCCTGCATCAACGGTACCGAGCGTGTCAATAGTCAAACTGACAAGCTCTGGAGCAGCTCCCGAAGCCGAAAGCGTCTCAAATACGATCGGCGTCGAAGTTTTCCACTCGGACAACCGCAAATGTAGCTCGCGCACCCTATGAATGTGGGGCGATAAGAGCTCGAGATCCTCGCGAGAGAAATCTGCCTTGCGCATGCCAAAGAAGACAGATAGCGGCGCGAGAGAGGAACGAGAGAGGAATGTGCCGGGAATGATGTAGTTATCGACGGTGGACCATAGGGTTGGGGTCGTATCTATGACTATTCGCCAATGCTTGCACACGTCGCGGAGGGAAAGCCACTCCCGGCTCCGCCGGTCGTAGACGTTGTTTTCGGGGACAGGAAGGAAAGAAGAGAGGTATTGCTGTGTCTCCCGGAATATGGCAATGAGAAGCTCGGTAGGAAGTTTGTTAATCGCTTGCAAGGCATTCCGAGCGCTTCTGACTTGTGCCGTTATTGAGATGAGCTTCGTTTCTAAGTCGTCCAGCTAGGTTGCAACGTACAGTCAGAAGGCGATAGACGTTGAATTCAGTTATTACTCACATCCGATGAACACAATTCCTCCGGACTACAGAACACAAGGATGAACATTCTGTATTTAGTAAAAATAAGCGCCCAAGAGAAAAAAACCCTTACCTCTGTCGAATTCGATATGACAACAGGTCCACCAGTTGCCGTGCACTACGAGTGACAGCAGATGGCCCAAATACGAGATATATCACGACGGCACAGAGCACTGTGAAGAGATGGCTCGAATCGAACATGGGTGACGAAGAACAAGCTGGGTTAGTCCCAGTTTGGCAATGAACGCTCCGGTCTATTAATTTCGGCAGCTATTTTTAAAACATGAGCCTGCAGCACGGGACACGCGTGGCAGGAGATAGGAAACTTTTAGGGTTCGTGCCTCAGGCTCGGTTACGAGAGTGGTACCCCTGACTTCAGAAGTATCCCACACCGTTAGCTAGGCGTGTCTGGCTAGGTGTATTAATGGGAACCGCTGTGAACCAAATATGTAGCCAACAGCGCCGAAAAGAGAGTGTGCAGGGCTCCACAACGCAAAATCCCTTGTAGTTCTGATTCCCGTCGTCCAAAGATCAATCCGGAAGATTTACTTGGATCATCAACCTGCATAGTAGTAATCCAGCGCAGATTCGCAAAGGCACTCGTCGACGGCTCCGCAGCACCACCCTAACGACAGTGATCAATCTTATCATTGCTTCATTTTTCGACTGCGCAATTTAGGAACGGCTGATGTCGGCATGCTAACAGATACCCGGGACCAAGAGAGGTGCATAGCCTGGAACCAGTCCTTTTCCAGGACCTGAGCTGTATTACGAGGACCATCGTTAACGTACATTTCAAGACCAGAAGTTCACTACATCCGATTCGCAAGAATAAAAATCCACCACTAGATAGACATTATGAGATCAATTTTTCAGAACAGAGCAGCTGCACACTCACCAAGAAAAGAAAGGACCTGAATCGATCAGCTCGTCCTGAAATCCGTGGGCGGGGTACATGGTCATCGCCAAGCCCCTAGTACCTACTCTCTGGCACTCGGTACTTGTTCAGGTTCCAGCACGCTTAATCGCTCCCGGCCCTTGCCTTTGACAGAAGTCGACCTACCACGGTCCCGTTGTACCGTGTGATCCTCGGTTGTGGTTGTGGAGCGCGCGTGAGATACATCAGTAAAGCCCAAAGATGGAGGTCCATGCCAAGACTCTTCGGGCCGGGCCTGTCCTGAAGCAACTCGGGCGATAATCAGCGTAGGTGCTATACCCTAATAACTCGTCAAACCAACAGCACGAAACGGAAACGAGGAGCTTTACAGTGATAGGGTAAACCAGCATCTGGGTGTACATGTACCCATTGCCACTGAGAGGGTAGCATACCATAAGCAGCAGGTAACTGATCGAATACAGCGCAGCGGATTCCACGAGAATCTCTATCACGTCGCGATACGTTCCAAGACCCACGCCGCGTTGTTGTCTTGTCACACGGACAATTCGCGTGACAATCAGAGTTGTGCACAAGATGTTTGTTCCCAATGTCGTGGCAATGGTGGCCACAGCCCATTTGGTTACAACATCGTCACCCGACGACGACGTATACTGATGAACGACGAGTTTGATTCTGCAAACTGAAAGTAAAAACGGTCAGAGCCTGTCTGAAAGACGAAGAGAGATCAATGTACATATCTCGCATACAATGAATAGGATGGGTAAAATCACTATTTTCCAGCTTTGACCCCATACAACCCAGCACCGCCAGATCTACGGAAAGGACATGAAAAGCCGCATGGGAAGAGGAAGACAGCACGTACTATCGTACAACTGGCGACGAGAATATTCAAAGCCGAAGCTACGGCGCTCATAATCTTTGAAGACAAGGGAGTGTCTATGAGATCATATCGGGACTGGACAGATGTCCCATAGACAAGAGCGATGCGCAGTTCAATCCATGAGACGGCAATCTGGATCGTGCAAAGGATGTACAAGGCTGTGATCAGGAATCCCATGTAAATCCGAGCCTTGCAGATGCAGTTGGTAGCTAAGCAATGCACGGACATTGCATAGAGGCCGGTATAGATACCTGTTGGTGAGCCATAGTTAGTAACACTTCAAAAAAGCATTTGTTCAGAACGACGGACCGTGGATGAAGAACCCACATATATAGGAATTAAGAGTTCCATCGAGATAGACCTGCATCTCTTCCTCGGAAAGATAGATGTCCATGAAAGACATGTCGACGCGGTCGCAAGAAGGTAGAAGGGAAGATACCCGCTGTCGAATATAACAAAGACCTTATATGCGAAGCACCATCCGGCGCGCCGGCAGTGCTGACGATGGGAGAATTTGAAAAAAAAAAAAAAAAAAGGCTGGCTGTCGCAAGCTGATCATCGTGATGAGTCTTTGAAGAACGAATAGCTAATAACATGGGGAAAAAATCAACGATGATGCCAGACAGGTCGCCTCGAAGTCACGGGTGCCAGTGAGCCAGGATCTTGCGGCTGGGGAGTGTTCAGACCCAAAGGCTGCCAGTGGAGTCAATATGAGCCGTCGGAAGTAGAGCGAGGTTTCTTACAGAAATGGTGGTGGTCCACATAGCGGGAACACACAAAAGGACATATGATCATCTTGACATCGCAGCTTAAATTGATAGGCCTTGCTGTTACAAGATGACATCGCGTATACGGGCCGTATATATATGCGTAGTGGTACAGGCCTCGAGGCTGGACGACAAATTAATATTGGAGCCAGCCAATCAACGCCGCGTTGCCTAACGCATGCTCCAGTGATATAAGAGCATTTATCTGTTGACCACCACCAGCTATTAGACTTTGGTATACCGAAGACACTCGTACTCACAAACGGTCGGTTTCCGACAGTAGAATTCAGCCACCGGTGCGCACTAAACATGCCTGGACCGCCTCTCTGACCAGTGGCGGAAGTGCATAGGACTGTCTCGGACCGGTGGCTGACAGCCAACGTCGAGTGTCGCACTGAGTCGCTCGTCTCCGCTCAATGAACACCAGCCTCCCAACGTCTTTGTCACGGTGAAACTGGTTTCAGCACAGGATGGGTACGCTATGTTGTTCATCTGCTTTGGCGGGTATACAAGCTTAATTTATTCTTGCCGTGGTCCATTGCAGGGCACATGGTGGATTCAGAGACGTGGGCGCGTGTGAAGACATTAAAGGCACCAGACGCTGTATGATGATATCCCAGACCGCATCCATTTTCATTGAGGAGGGCAGTTCTGCACCTCCCGCAGTATGGAAAGGCGATAATTATTGGCCTAGGACCTCCTATCGGTGCCAGAACGAAAAGACAGCTATGCGCCTGCTATTCCACATGTAAGTAAACGGACATTATGCATCAGTAGATGAACTGAGCGCACCTTGACCCAGCATACCAGTTTCAAGCTTGTTCAATCCACTGCTGACGGTATCGAGGACGATGCGCTCCAATGTCGTACATGTAGAGGTTCCAAATTTAAATTACTAGTCCCGGGGAAGGACTTTAGGCGTGCTCGAAATCTTTGGAAGACATCTGGTGGCACAGAAGAGTAGTACGAGTGAACGACGAAAAAGAGATGGATCGAGGGTCAGAGCAAGAAATGGAGTGTGGGAAAATGTAGATTTCAGTCTTCACCGCTACCACCATCTTCGTCCATGCATCGTTCAACCGACCTGCGACAATGGGAATATCAGCGCCGTAGTACGCCATACCTGTGCTGTATCTTGGCATAGCGAATCTTTGGAGACGTCGACCCGTTTTCCTGCCAATCCTGTCTCCTCACCAAATCAACGGACCCAAGACCGTAGCCAAGTGTATCTGAGACGACACCAGTAATAGGATCTAAAATGACGGAATGCAATACGTCGCCTCGCATCCAGCATCCCAGCGGAAAAATCACAGTATACCGGCGACGGCGCGGCTGGACGACTCGGAAGCAGAAGTGGGGATGTCCTTAGCGTTGGACAATGGCGCATATATCTACACTCCGGCACATTATACTGGTGCGTTTAGCTTTATCGCGATTAAGAACGTCCTGCTGACACAGAATAGTGGTATCGCGGACCTCTTTCCTCTGCCTACCGGAGGCGTGCACCCTACCATTGAGCAAGGAGAAAGGTTTTTCCAGCGATGAAGATGTCCTGGACGCCGCCCCATCGTTATACTCCTCGATTCGCGCTCTCAATATGATCGATGCTCGCTTACCTGACATTGGAATAGTGACCATCGATGGTCGATAATCTGACCCTTTGCTTCATCCATCAACGGAGCCTCGCCAGACTGTGGTTCGGGTCTAAACTTCTCAATGGCACCTGAACGTGGCCCGATACTCAATCTCCCGGTTACACATCGAGTCTCCCGCATATATGCGCGTCAGGCAAGCTATCGCCGGCTATCCGGAAATTTGCATCCTCGAATAGACCATGCGACTCGAGTGATGTTGAGCGAGGCAATGTTATCGGCTCTCAAGCGGTCGCCTGACATCGGGACGACATTGGTAGACCACCGGCACGGGCGACGATTTGAAGGAGAGAGATGTTCACTTTTGGACTTGCAGGAGGAATAATTGACAGCGCTTTTTTTTTTTAATTGCGCATAGCCATAACATTAATATCGGTCTCAGATACGCTCGACATCCCGGCACGTATTGAACAATCGACCCGTCTTCTACTCAGTACGGCTTATCTAATGGTGACGGTACTTTGGCAATACGATAGGCCAATCGAAGGTAAGAAGCACTTCTCGGCTACAAAGAAACTTGCATTGTTGTGTGGTTGGCGTAACTCCCCGTGCCGTTGAGTCTTCCATCGCGAAAATGGGGTTCCACGGTCCATGGTGTGCGCTATGTCCGACAGCAGGAGGTGCACATGGGGGCTTCACTTCCTTCGAGTCATCTGAACGTGTCCATTCTTTCTGTCTGAATGAAGTCAGGTAAATTTGCGGACGTCGAGGGAGGGCGACGAACGATGTTCCTTATCGGTCGTGAGCGCTCGGCTTGGGGGTTGAGAGGATGGGTTTCGTAGTGTGTCCTTGCGTCCGGCGTGCCTGAAGATACCGTATAGTGTAATGATGAGATGAAACATAGTGTTGGTAATGTCGTTGTGTCGCAGATATCACCGAGGCTGGATGGACCTTCTCCATGTTTGCCAGCGATGGAGGAATATCGTGCGCTCTTTCGCTCTTGTACATCAGAGACGATGATCTCATTAACTCCACCTTCTTGGGAAAGATGACACTTCATCTCCTCTCAGTTGTTTACCGTGAGATTCCATAGAAGTGATTTCCCATCTCGAGAACGACGAGCCGACGGAATTTTTACCCTCGACATAGCCCTGAACAGATCGGTTCGTCAAGCGGTGTGACCTATGACCTCCCTGACGAATTTTTGGATTCGTCAGTTACCTCATTGGAATGTTGTTGTATTGACAGAAGAATATAAGTAAGAGTCTACAAATGATGGTGAGTAATATAGTAAGGGACATGATAGCGGTATACATGCCTCAGTCGGGCACAGCGTAGGTGAAACGACTGAGGTATACGGGTATCTACAGCCAGGCTATATAGGTGACCGGGTAACGACAGGGGGTGTGTGTATGTGGTAAGTAAGAATAGGTGATAATCAAAAGAGAACGAGTGACGATCAAAAAGGTAAAGGTAAAGGTAAAGGTATATACGGATATCCTCCAACATGTTGATGTATCTTACGCGATAGCCAACTTGGACGAAGCGGTGTGCTCCCTGGTATCACCGCCCATATCAGGAGCTACCAGCCTGGTCCAGCCAACTTCGCCGATATTATAGACGAGAGTATTACCTCACTCCCAATCGTTTTCCTCTCTTAATACGTGCATCGAGTCGATCATCGAATCACGCTTTCACCCCGTCTCTGTCGATTTCCTTGTTCACCCGCCGCACATCATTGTCAGATCCTTGGCCGCCATAAATATAAGCAATTCTTGTCGACACACTCAGATACTGAAGTATCGTTCTCACTCCTAGTATCAGGAATGTTTGCTGCCATGCGCCAACGTGATCGTCATCAGTACATTGCTTTGGACCAAGTAGCCAGTGAGCTGCACCTCTCTGATGACTCCTCTCAGTCGTCCGAGACCTCTGTACTTGGTATGTAGTCTAGCCCTGGCCAAATACTTACTACTCACGGTACCTTATCAGACAATGGCCGCACGAAGGACACACCTCGTTACCTCTATACGACTTGGGTTCTTTACATTTTTGTCCTATGCACAGTCATCGACTGCATCGCCATCGTAATTCTCGCTACATTGCGGTCCGGTGTATGGGATCTTCAGACCACAATCTCCCCAGACACTCTTCCACTAAGGAACGCGTATACAAACCTCGACAAGCTCTATCAGAATCGTTCTTCGAGCTTTGTCCTCAAAACACCTGTCTATAATCTGCCTTTACTTGTTGGGCAGGTCTCCCGTTATGAACCGGATAGGTTCTTTCCACAACCAGTGGACGTGTATGCTGACGAGAGTTTCGGCTATAGTCAATTAGTCTACCAACACTACCTCCTTAATGACCAGGTGAGATTCATTTTGTTCTTTATCTGCTAGCCACTCAAGCTTTCATTTATCCAATGACATTAGCTCAGTACAATTGTACAATTCAGAGCGCAAGATTATGGCTTGGAGAATTGCACTTTCGCGTTCACATTGCCTGCCCCCGACTCATTTAAGAGTCCCGCCATAGCCGATGATCAGAGCAACATCACATCGATCGAAATATCCATGATCCCCGTTGACCGTCGACTCCGAACGAAGAGGCTCTCATGGGGAAGCTTACCTTCTGCCAGGATGCATGTTGGTTTGCTCAATATTTCTGATGGACGTACAGTAGAAGGCCCTCCGTTCTACTGCCCATCCGGCACATATCTCACTTTCGAACTCAGCTGTGTTCACTATCCCTGCTATCTTGATGTTATCGGTGAACGCACCGCAGAGTTTGGTAGTCCGAATGATTTCTAGTTAGGCGGTCGCTGACTGTATACGCATAGGCTTCTATATTTTACAGCGGCAGACAAGATGATGCCGTTCCTAGGCAATCTCGCACCTTGGTTACAATGCATTCACTGAAACTACGAGTTTGTCTAAGTTCATCGCCTTGTACTATTTTTGATGCTACAAAATACATGTGACTACACATGATATCATAAGGTGTTTAATTATCTTCCCTGGATACTATATTCAGTTGAAATTGTCTGAACGAGTGATATAAACATTACGTTGTTGCGTTAAAGTTCTTCAGTTGCCACGTTCGTACCCAATCATGCCAGTTTTGAGATACCTCAGCATATAGTGTATCCCAGTCGTTGCAAACATGTAACTGATTACCGCGATCGTATTTGAAGTTCCTTTGGGTGAAGTCGTTTGGTTCCAAGGCAGTATCTGCATGGCAAAGAATCCATTGCCTGAGAAGATTGAGACAATGCTGTGCGTGCAGCAGGTCATCAAGGGACACGACCTCGGCCTTGAAACCTGCATGCGTCACCCTCAGGCAATGCAGCTGATGCCAAAAAGAGACGAAGAAAAGGCGGTTCTGGGGGCCCAAGCGAACTGTTCCATTTCCCTCGGCTTCTCCGATCCACCATTCATTGTAGCCAGCATCATCAAAGGAGTAATGGACGGTCTCTTCAATGAACATGGCAGCTAAACCAGCTTGCGAAGGAAAGTAAAGTGGGACGTCATCTGAAATGAATGCTACAACCAAGTCAAGGTTTGGAAACTCAGTCAGCTAGTAAAGAGTACGTACTATGATCTCGTCGTCCATATGGGAGACGTATGATATCACTGTGAGGAGGATTGGAGTGAAGGAGATCGAATGTCGATAGGAAGAAATATGATGAGAAGCATAGCGAGGCCACGCTCGTGACAGCAATAACAGCTTGTATATATGAATACCCTTTCATTTCCATTTCAGAAACAACAGTTATTCGGGAGACGAATAAGAGAGAGAATGATTTCTACGATGGATGGAGGGGCTGGTACAGTATTCGATATCTACATGACTTTATACATTCAAGTCTTGTCAAATAAGTACTTACTGTTTGAACGGCCTGTATTGAGCAAATCGATTCGGAATCAGAAGCTGTCAATTAATAGTATTGACTGGCGACTGGGAGTTCATCATCATCACATTGGACGGCATGGTCGACTATAGATACAACGGTGGCGTATATGAATCAGAATCGTGATGGGCGGCAAGATCATTATCACTGGAGTAAGCACGTGGTCGTAGGTATTTTTCCTTCCAAACTTAAACTTCAAAGTCAGTGACGGCCCAAGGTATAAGTTGAAACGAATGATGTTCTCCATGATATCCCTCATCAAAGGACACCTTAGCTTCCAAGTCTAATGGCCAATTCTGATTTGGAGACACAGCGCGCAATCTATGTGTCCATTATTGTTGGCTCAATAGTGTTTGGTACGTGTTTCTGTCATTACTTTCTATGTGTAGATAGTGAACGATGCTGCTTACCTATGTCGCAGGAGCTCAGATCTGTCTCTATGTGCAGTCTTTCGTTTACTTGCTCAACAACCCAGTTAAAAAATGGAGATGTTTCTATATCCTCTTTGGCGCGATCCTCGTAGTGCTTACTGCCGTCGGGGGTGGAACCAACATGCAACTCGGACAACTCATGTGGATTCAGTATCCTGATTATCCAGGTGGTGCCCCAGCATACTTCGCTGACCATTCCTCGGACTGGTACGAAATATGGGGTACTGCCTCCGTGTCCTTTGCTAATATCATGGGAGACGGCCTTCTGGTGGGTTTACACATGTGCATACTCACGAATAAATGCTTAAAATAACTCCAAACCCAGCTGTATCGTTGCTACATAATCTATAATTCCAATATCTGGGTGGTAGGCTTTCCCTTTCTTGTTTTGCTGGCATCGACAGGTCCGTAAATTTGAGATCGGCAAGTCATCAGACTCATCATCGCTAACTCTCTGCTCTAGCTATGATCATTATTACAATTGTCCAAAGTGCAGTCCCAGAATCGACACTCTTCTTTGGTCTTCCTATTAATTTTGCTATCGCCTGGATTTGCTTGACCGTGGGGTTCAACGTCATCGTCACCGCCCTTATCTGCTATCGTCTGTTGTCGTTCCACAAAGCTTCCCGCGAAACTCTTCCCTCTGAGCTGACCAACACTTACACCGGCATCTCTGCCATGATGCTTGAGTCTGCAGCTCCTTTCACGATATCTGGTATCGTGTATGTTATTGCCTTTGCTGTAAAAAGCCCCTCTCAGCAAGTATTCGCCGGAATTTGGGGGGTCATGGTGGTGAGTCAACGTATCACAGTAGATATTCCTATATACTGACAGTCTACAGGCACTTTCTCCCCAGCTCATTATTACTCGCGTAGCAATGGGTATAGCATGGAACAAAGACATGGTAGATAGGTTCTCCGACTCTTTCAGAGTTAACAGCTCTAGAACGTTTTCGTCTGCTGCGGCATCGAACGATGGAAGAGCTCGAATTGTCGTGGCGCTGACAACCAAGGAGTCCGGTGAAGATATGGTTTGAATGGCATCTGTTGGGATTTTGCCAGAAAGTTCTAGAAAGGGCAATCCGGCATGATGCTGAGAGTTGATGAGCAAGCTCGAGAGAAAGAGAAAGTTGTAGTAAATTCTAGATATAAGCCTGGAGAGTACAAATACAAGCTCTGTAGGAGCTGTAAAAACAGAAGCTCATGCTATCTGGCCTTACTGACCTGGAGTCTACCCTGCACAACACCCAGGATTTCCAACAGCATGTCACCAACTGAATCTTCTTTCATTGATCCACTATTACGTTCTGCTTTTGATGTTTTGTATGGTGCCCCCATTCCTATGATTTATGCTCTTCTGTAGTGTTAACCACACTATTATTTTCCATGACAATCTTACATTTTGTTCATCAAGTGACACTGTGGGGATAAAGAAAGGTATTGTCAGAAGAATATCAGTAAGAGTCTCAGTTGGGCACAGCATAGATGAAACAACTGTATTGGATAAGTACTGTACCCATTGACAGAAGAATATAAGTAAGAGCCTACAAATGATGGTGAGTAATATAGTAAGGGACATGATAACAGTATACATGCCTCAGTCAGGCACAGTGTAGGTGAAAAAACTGAGATATACAGGCATCTATGGCCAGGCTATATAGGTGATCAGGTAACAACATGGGTTGTGTATATATGGTAAGTAAGAATAGGTGATAATCAAAAGAGAATGGGTAACAATCAAAAAGGTAAAGGTATGGGTATACATATGGATATCCTCCAACAAAAGGTCATGACTTGGGTAACTTGTTCTTATTGCTCATTCTTCAGTTATGTCAATTTAATGTGTATGGATCGATTATTTACAACTACTAGCACATAAATAATTCTTGGTCTGCCATCCATGAGAATGTTTGAGTAGCTGTAATCTGATCATGATGTAGGCCGGGTTGTAATACTTATGCCGCCCGTTGTTAAGTCCTGTCAATGTATTCTAGTTTATGTTTGTAGGTGACAACCGATAATAGCCAACTCAGACAGTTTATAGGCTCGTATCTTCGAAGTTCCAGGCAGTACAATCTGCCATCCTTCCCGCATACCACCAACGTCAGTGAAAAATGAATGCGGTTATTTCCATCCTCTTAATTCAGATGACTTTTGTGGCGACATTCC